CCAAATACATCTCATCTCAAGTTAGTCTAGACAGAGTAAATTTCACATTTTCTTGCGTAGCGATGATACAAAGAATCTCTCGTAAATTTAATTTTCAATAGGGTGGCATCCGAATGATGTGAAAATAGTTCAATCTCTTCGAACTGCTTCTTCGAACTACGTCTCTGTCGGTAAAACATGATACAAACCATAACTTTAGCATTAAACAGTTGAAATGGTACACCGTGCGCGGGCATCTCTATAAATTCATATAAATAGAGAAAGTACAGGAGCATACACACATTCACACACACACACACATACACACACACATGTACAATGTACATATACACACATGTACATACGTACATCTACACAACACATGAATATTTCAAGATATTAGAAAATCAAGAATTGAAAAAGAGATTTCGTTGCCAATGGAGAAGTGAGGGAAAAAAATTTGAACTGGGATATAGCGAATTGAGAAGAGTTAGGTGAAAGGTTGGATGTTGTGAAGTATTAGAGAGAAGAGAGAAAAGAAACGGATAGGAGAGTGAAGTAGTGATGATAGAGAGTCGAAGGTAGTGCCAGGCCAGTAAGTACTGGACTGGAGTCAATAAGCTGGTGCAGAACCGACGTGCACATCCTATACCATTTCCATCTTGAAAATGCTGTCATTCAGGATACTTTCTTTTTCCAGTTTTTTGTCAGTTACAGGCTATGGATATTATTTCTACAAATTCATTTCCATAAGATTCATTTTATGCTAATGTGAACTCCAAAATTGCTGAAGCTTCTTGCATTTTTTTTAAAGCTTCTTTTCAAACATGATAATCTCCTCCAATTGACAGACTTAAACTGTACTGATCATTTGCTTCGAAAAAACAAAAAACTATTCTGGATGAAATAGGGACCGAGAATGAAACACTATCCGGTATCAAATTGAATCCAGATTTTGTAGCTTCGATTGTTTATGGAATGAATGTTCAGTTGAGGCATGTTGCAATGTACACAATTTCTTCCTGCGTAATAATTTTGCTGCAAAAATTAGAATTGAACTAAAATTCGTCCTCACACTTATGATGACAAAAGCGAACAATGAATGATGGATTAAAATCAATAAAGAAAGAAATGATTTAGAAATGAAAGAATAATTTTAATGAAATGAAGATAAAAAAGATCTATTAATCCCGAGAGAAAGGACACAGATTGTGATATTTCTATTAAAGTAACATGACCTTTTTTGTAGGGATGGTCAGATTTGCTACATAGTTATGGACTGTTTCGACGATGATGACCCCAGGAACAGTGAAATCTTGAAGTGTACTTATTTGAAATCATTTCAAATGTATTATTATTGCCATTACTAAAAATCAAAAAAAAAATCAAAAAAAATATTAGAATGATATCAGAAGTTGTATAATTTGAAAATATAGTTGAAATAATATTCGTTTTTATAGAAATTCAGTCTGAGGCCAAAGAGTGTTGAAATTTGCAGAAGTTTTTAAAGCTATTCTTTGATATCACGAAATTTTTAAATAAGGAAATTTGATGAAAGAAATAAATTTTCTTATCCATTTGAAAAAAACAGTGATTGCTGTCAACTAGTGGAAATAGCCATAATCGCAAGAGGAAGGAATGAAAAATCGGAAAAGGCATGGCCAAAAAATTATATATAATTGAATTGCGGCAGCTCAGTTTCCCGCTTGATTAAAATTGAATTATCATTTATTTAGAAGCATTCTTAAATATTAGATTTCCTGAAATTTCAATATTTTCGTGTTCTCGTGGTTTTCAAATATTCAGAAACCAAATGAACAATTTAGACAAACAGCAATGAAATTAAAAATAAGTAAAATAAAACTGGTAATAAAACAAGTAAATAACTAAAAACAATGCATAAAAAGTGGAAAATTGAAATATTGGTTACTGACAGTTCCTTAAACTCTAAACTTGCTTGTATCTTTTCGTTTATCAACCATTGCTTTTATTCATTTCATCATTTTTCTTTAATATCACTTTTCAACTCGTTTACATCTGCAGTGCACGTCTTCATCCAATTTTTATCGATAGAATATGATTAAAATATTGCACTTAATAACTCTTGAAGTTGAATTTTCAGAAAATTAAAAATGCTCAAAGGCTTATTTTCTGCTGCCTGTAACTTTTACTGAAAAAGAATAATTGTAATTTGATGTAATGATTGTAAATCTAATCAGGCAAAGCAAACTTTATCAATTTATACAGCGAATTTTTTATTTTGATTTTTACAATACATATTGCTTCAAATTATTATATAGGTTTATATTCATTTAATTATGTTTCATGAAACTCCTCGCTATCAATTAAAGAAATATTAATTATTCCTAAAAGATAACTCCTAATTATTCCTTTGTTAATCCTTCAAAATATGACCATTTGCCTTTAATGTTGTTTGCTTGAACATATATCGGACATTTGTTCTACCTAACAATCACAGCTTTCAAACATTTCCGCTTTACAATAACAATGCAAACTCTAAAAAAGTTTTGCCTTTATTTTTTTATTTTGTTTACAAACATTAAAAGTTTTTTTAACGAAATTGTGAGGGGCGAAGATTATTTGTCGAATAATTCATTTGAATTTTCGTGAATGAATTGGGAAATAGGACGACTATTCAACGACTATCTGATAGGTAATCGAGGAGAAGCACTCCTCGATTACCTATCAGATAGACGTTGAATAGATAGGTGATCGAGGAGAAGCACTCCTCGATTCGTTGTCGTTGAATTTTCTACTTTAACATTTCATTGAGATGCATTTAGAAAATGGAAAGAAAATATTTTCAAAATAAAAAAATATTTATTTAAAAAAAAAATATTTTTCTGCAAACTATCGAGAAAGTAGGAACCACCCGTTATTCCGTTTGATTATGCATTATGCTGATTTCATTCTACCCATTTTTTACTCATTTTTGAGCTTTGATATTTCAACTTGTTTTGGCATAGCTCAAAACTGAATTTGTCATCAGACTAAATTTTTTCTACTTCAAAAAATTTTGTTTGGAGCAGCTGCAAGACAAGACAAATTTCAAATTACGAAATATGCTTAAGGTATGCTTAAATATGCTTAAGTTAAACTGAGGTTAAGGAAACAAAAATCTATTTTAAAGAAATTTTTAGTTGTAAATAAAGAGAAATTCACAAGTAATTCGATTCCAAAGAAGTAATTTCTAAAAATTTTAGCGCAATAATATGATTCTTATGAGGATATCGAATTCAAATATCTAAATGAGAGAATGATTTCTGGTTTCTATCCGACTAATTTAAACTCATTAACTATTGCATTGAATACGAACATTCGATCGTTATCTGGAATATATCCTTTCACTAGTCAAATCCTAGTGATATATCTCTTTTGTTATATTCATTCACTAGCCAAGAAAACTTCTAATAAGCTCTCAAAACACTACAAACCTTTTAATTAGAGCATTTGTTATGGCTTAAACCTAAACTAGTTTCAGTGCAAAATTTCACATAATTCTTTCCTGAATTATAATCATTAAATGATCTCTTCCTGTAGTTTTTTTCCATATCTATTACTACCAGAAAATGAAGCCATTAGTTTATTTCAATACTTTCTTAAGATCTTAAGAGAGTTGTTTTAAAAAGTTGGCCAAAAAATTAAAAAATCTTTTATTAAAATGTCTTTTATTAAAATGGAATAAAAAAGGTATGATACAGCAAATTCAATGAAAGTGAAAAATTAGAAGGCCAAAGATGAAATTATAAGGAATTTCGAAAAACAGCTTAATTAAAATATTTAATAATTGCGATTGAATTAGAAGTATGAATTTTATTTTAATATCACTTAATTGAGACTTAAGAATTTAAAAAATTTAATGCACCAAACATTTAAAAATTTGAAAAACTCGAAATCCAACATCTTTTGAATTCATTCGTTAATTTATTTCTGAGAATAGCAAAAAAATTCCACCGCACATACTTCTTAAAAGAAAAATATTTTTTTCAACGATAATGTGGAAATCAAGCAAAAAATAAGTACCAACAAAATTAAACAACAACACAGTTAAACTAATTTCTATGGAAATAAAAAGTATAAATTTCGTTTTCTTCTTAACAGCCTTTTTTACTCATTCCTTTCAAAAAGCGTTTCTATTTCTTAAATAAAATTTATTAAAATAAGCCTGAGCAAATAAAAGCACAACATTTGTCTTACTCCTTTTGAAATATGAACTTCTTTTCTTCTCTATATCTCAGCATTAAACGATTAGGGCACACATTAGCAGGAATTGTTAATGACTAACTTTTATTTGCTTGAACTGCCGCACATTCATGCCACAAGAAATTGGCAAATTCTTTTGTTAAGTTATCTTAAAAAACTTATTTTAATTGTTCCTAAACCTAAGCTTTTCAAAGATTGAACAAAACAAAACTTAAAAAGAAGAGCTTATCTATGAGCTCTAAAGGCTGTCCAATGAATAATAATAGTTTAAATTTCATAAAGTAAATTTAAGTCGAAAAACAATTAAGCTAAATCAGAAAATGGAAATTTGCTTGCATTTTAAATAAATTCCATTTTAAGCTTTGAAAATCGTACTTCGTTATTCTATGCCATTTATTATTATTACTGGTCATTCGGTATCTTCTTTATAATTTAATAAGTGAAGAAGTGAAATCAATTTAAAACAATTATTGAAAATAATTATAATTATCATGACTTGAAGCCAGCAATGAGGAATGAAATTGGAGTATAAACTCTTAGTAACAAATAACGGGTAGACTTGTAGATGAATTTTAAAACACAATTAAATTATCGAAAAAAGACTGATTGATAATAAATACTAATATAAGTAAAACATGTTCTATATTGAAGAAATAAATTAATTGAAACACAATACGCCATGTATTTTAACCAAATCATTATAAGTAAACACTGAGTGCTTAGATACTGTAAAACTTTTCACCTTATCTTTAATCATAAATTGTCTAACTTAAAACAGAAATCCTAGGGTTAGTTCTTCAGTATGAAGAACGTCCGGCGTAACATTCTATCGAGGCTTCTCGATAGTCCAGAATTGTGTTCAAAATTTCATGCTTTTCCAGTTGTAAAATAGCAAGAATATGATCATCATCGCATTTTTTCGATGTAAATTCATACAAATATCCAACAGTTTTCAAACATATTCGACGTATATCCATAAGTTCTGCGAATATTCCCGAAATGAGCATATCATCAATGTGAATATATGATACAGGATTTTCGAGAGCCATCAGGAGACGTTTGGCAGTAGCAGGTGAGAATAACCATGCACCACCAGCCAAATAGGTTGGATAAGTCACTGATGCATAAATTAGTGAATTCAAAGCCCTAAATTAGCAATTGATTTAGGAATCATGCAGGAAAAAATCCAGTTGCTTTAAAAGGTAATAAATGCCTAAAATCGAATCAATTAACCAAAGTCTCAAATAAATTTAATCAATTGGTTAAACTACCAAAAAATGCACCATTTACTACTATCTTCGCGATGTGCTTTTGCGCCCTTCCAACATTTTCCATATACAGCTATCAAACTAGCATCAAGTTTCGAGGTATATGAAGCTATTTCATCCGGAAACGCTACTATGTCTGGATCGCCCTAAAATACAATTTAGAAAACAGATAACCGGCTTAGAAACTGTAAAAGCAAATTTAACTAAGAGAACTGTAGAATCAAATTTAACTGATTAAAACTTAATGTGATCAAATCTAAGGAAGAAAAGCAAATATAAATTTAACTGTAATGTTGGCAAATATAAATTTAACTGTAATGTTAATTGGAAATGTTTTTACTGAATAATAAATGGTCTGCGGGATGCCAGATCAAGTGTCACCACATTTTAAATTACAGCAATATTACTGTAAGCAATCATCGATTCCATCAAACAATTTAGAATGTACGAAAATACTTTTCAAATTTTACCTGCATAAAAAATCGGGGCGCCTGACAATTTCGAACTATCCAACTTAAAATATTTAATGACTTCAGCGTCATGTTACTATAACTATCAATCATATCAAAAACGATCAAATCGCCGTATTTTTTAGCTTCCAGCTCTACCAATTCGTTTACTTCACCTGTTTTTTCAACACCCAATACAAATATCTGAAAAATGTATGGTTAGAAGAATTAAACAGTATAGATCAGTAATATATCCGAAGTATTAAAAGTAGCATAAATTATACTAACTAAAGAATGTTTCAGAGATCCAGCCCATGTTGAACGAATAATACTCCTCCATCTTATATTTCTTGGATGAGTACGAATAATATAAAAAACAGGTACACTGGGACACTGTTGGAAACTAGGCGCTAATAACATTCTAGCATCCGTAAAATTGTATGGCGCAAATATTGCTCCCGTTGTATCATGCACTAAAAAACTCAATTACAGGAATTTAGAATGGTAGTTGCTAAAATCAAAATTCCAAAATCTTAAGAAATTATATTTGCTAAAAAATTAAAATTCCAAAACCAAAGATGACGTCGGCTTTACCACAAAGAATTTCATTCTTCTTCAAATGGATTTCAAGTAATCAATACGTTAAATATGTGAAATAATGATGTAAGAACTTATTTTAACAGCCTTGAACGCTAAAAAAATCGATGGTTTTCATAAAATGTTTAAATCTCGAATTTTGAACAAAAATACGAATTGAATAAATTCGTCAAAATTGGTTGTTTCGCAAATTATAAAATTGATAACCTTTGTTAACATCGAACGAGAAGTTTGTAAATACATACAATAACAAGAGAGGAGAAGAGAAAATGATTACCACACAACAAATGTTTATCCTATGTATACGCCTCAAAGTTGCTCGTTTCAATCGTCTAAAAATGATAGTCGACTAAATCAAATCTAAATTAATGATTTAAGAAATTTTGCTTGAAATCGCAAAATAAGTGGTAATCTGAAAGAGAGTAAAAGTGTGAGAAATAAATAAGAAATGCAGGCATATTTGGACTGACATTATGATTGCTAAGTAGCACTTCTGCAGCTTAGATTTCCGATTGCATTACTACAATAATAGGCATGATGAAATAAGATTTTATAACACCTAGAATGTATACCACACGCATTGAAACCATTCACTTATATTTTTTCCTTTTTGTTTTTTGATATTCATTAAAGCAGATTGAAATATGAAATAAGGTTAAGTAAATAAATCGAAATGTGAAATAAAGCTAATATGAAATAAATCATTTAGTGATAGAGCAAACGATGATGTGGCCAATATCATAAAGAACTAAAAATCTAGTTATTTGATAGCTAAACTTGAATATCACTCTTTTCTTGAACATTTCTTTAATTTCAATTTTATAATCTTGGCTTTGGAGCTCTTTGATATGATAGCATCAGGATTTACTTCCAAAACATCGATATCTGAGGTGAATAAACAAAAAGTTACAATAGTGGTAGGATAATATTGATTTATGCAAATTTATTCATAAAGAACTAACTAAGTTGAAATAAGGCTTTAACAATGATTTAAAAATTCAACTAATAAATTTTCGAATTTTTTTTCGGTAAATTTTAAATATGATTGAATGGATTATAGGATGGGTTATAGAGAGAGAATGAATTATGTAAAACTGACCGTAATTCGCAATGATGTATCATAATAGACGATCCATAACTAAATCATTCAATATTCCTTTCGTGAAGCTGCAAAAGAAATGAATGAATGTGTTTATATCGCTGTAAAATAAATATTCGCGAGAAATGCTTCCCTTTTTTTTTTGTTTTATTCTCTTCTGAATCATTGAATCAAAATTTAAAGTAGATATAGATATTGATAAATGATATTGAAAAGGAATTAGGAAATAAATAAATTTCAATTCACAGTTTTTTATTTTAAAAATGAAAATCATTTGTTTTAAGTCATTCCCCTATTATATATCAATTTTATTATCTTTATCACTGATATACAACAATGGTACAAATCACTGTATTAATGCGGAAAAATTATTTCACAACTAAAAGAGCAAAGACTGCTCATTTCATTGTATACAGTCACGCTCAGCGTATTTTAATAAAAGTTAGCCAATCGATATATCGCGTTTAGGGATTAAACGGTCTTGTGTTTTTCGATAAAAAAAATTCAAATAGTTCGGATTGCAACATCTATCGTTTTTTCATAAAGCAATTACCTCGGATAATACCGGGAGAGACTAATAATCTCAGCCTGATGATTATTAAAGCATATTTGATCCAATGAGTTACAGAGGGAATCTTTCGAAAACGAATTCTTCTCTGTGAAGGAAAGCATAAATTCCATTCAATTTACTTCCTTTGTCTTCGCAGTCAGGTGAATAGAAGAGAATAGATGAACAGGTGTAGCAAAGTTTAAATTAGTAGCAGAGCCTAATAATTTAATTATATATATTTGGAGTAAGATGAAAGAGTGAAAAGGCATATTGATTTGTTTCTCAATAAAAAATCCTATCCTCATTTAAAAAAAACTTAGGTTAGCAAATGAGATGATTTTAAATTTATGAATTTAGAAAAAACAAAAAATACATATTTTTTTACCACTATTTATTATCACTGAGAGGAAAAGCTCAAACAAATTGTCTCCATTGCTGTTTAAGGTATCTTTAAAATACAAATTTATAAATCACAGTAGAAAGTTTTTGTCAGCCTAAACATTGTTTGTAACAATCATAACAGTTCGAGCAGTCCTATTTCATTAATTTCGTTTCATTATTTGAATAGATTTTTCTGGCTAATTCCTCACTCAAATTCATTCATGTTACAAAACATGTAAAACATGTACATGGTCACTCAAGTAGCCAATAGAAAGAATGCATCAAAGCTCAAATTATAGATTTGTATTTCAAACATACGAAATTCTGGTCCACTTAGAAAGCGAGTTTCGAAACTAAAATAAACTTTTTACACATCTGAATCACCCATAAGAGATTTTCAAAGCAATGATTATTTTATTATTAGTGATTAATTGTCATGACTGTCAAAGAGATATATTGTCAAAGGCATCGAATAAACTTTGTTATTTGCATAATTATAAATGGAAACGATTAAATGAAAAATTAGCACAATAGATACAGGAATTTCTTTTAACATAAGCAAATAAGAAGAATTGGATCAAGCAAAACTGAATTCTTCCAACAAAAGATTATATTCAACAATAATTGAAAATTGGTTTTTACGAGAGTAACCGGAAGACAGAAATTCATATGTGAGAATGAGATGGATTTTTTGAAACAATTGATATTTTCATAGTACTCATATAATCAGTGAGACCTCAAAAAACTGCTAAATCAAACACAACACGCCACTCAAATAAATGCATGAACCAGTCAGCTCACAAGTGATAATGACTGGAGTTGCTCACAGGTCGTAGGAACGGTGCTCAAATTTTGCATAAATTATGTGTCCCCTCGCTGTAGTTTTCGCCGATATCGGAAACTCTATTCATTTCACTTCGATCATTGATCAGTGAAGGGAATTGCTCGTTACAACCATGCTATAACTTGTGATTGCTGCACCTCAGTAGGCAGAAGACATTTCATCTGTATGATATTGCTTGAATAAGAACTGTCCGTACAAAAAATGAGTAGCTTGAACATTCATACAAAAATTGAATTACTGGAATTAGCGGAGAATTTAAACTTTTTGTTGGGAATTACGAAACAAGCCATGGAGTCCTAACAAGCAGTGGGTTTCATATCGTGGGATATCGCTGTTTATAGCACGAAGATATCAATTTATTTTTGCACTTCAAATACTTCTTATTGAGTTACTTATAAAGAAACAAAAAAGACGCGAGAACAAAATAGTCAATAAAAAATCATAAACAAAGATATGAAAAACGAGAGAACAAAGTAGTCAATAAAAAGTACAATTTTTTGCTAACAAATGAATAAAGACAAATTAATGGCATAATTAAAACGCAAGAAATCAAAAATTCATATATATATCGATTCTTTTTCTACAAAATAAAGAGAAATAATGTAAGACAAAGTAACATAAATTATCTGTTTGGATTGTAGATCTTTTTCTTCAATCGTGTAATACGCCAAGCGTTCGGATCTTCATACTTATTATACAAAGGATTAATCGTCTGGTTCTTTTTAAATGCCGATAATTTCGTATTATCGCCCATTTTAAAGAATGACGGCGCGAATTCTACTAACCATTTTGGTTCAATAGCAGTTACCTGCAAAAATTAGTGTCTAAACTGCTGTTGCCATTCAGCTGGTCCCAGAAATATTATAATTAAAAAGGTTTTACTTCAATTTATAACTGTCTGATGCCAAACAATAAGCTTTAACATTTCGTGATTTAAAAGTTGTTACGAACTATCTTAACAGCAAGACTTACAAACCTCACGCATGTATTCTTTTGTTGTCATTACAAGTTCATGATAAACAACCCATTCTGGTTGGTTTTGAAATAAGGCACTAGATGGATGAATATAAACATTTTGACCGTCCACGATTGTTCGATAACCTTCCTAAACAATTAAGAGATTAAATACAGTGACGAGAATTTATCGATTTACTATATTCTTCCTATAGCAAAAATACTTCGAGATGCTGAAAATTTCGTCACATAACATGATATTGCCTTTTCAGTAATAACATCCAGAAAAAAGAGTCTCTCAACCTTCCTAAAACTAATCGTTTAAATCTGTCTTATCTCATATCTAATCTGAGAAAGAAGATACCTGCGGATCTCGCTTTGCTGCATTCCGAAAAAATCCTGAGCATATAGCTTTCTGTATGCGTTGTACATCTCTACCACAACTTATTGTGTTGAGCTTATGCCTATCCATGATACTAAGCAATTGTTTCCGAATATCCTACAAAAATAACACATTGAGCAAAAAATTAACTCGGAAATTCTTCGGAATATAAAGATTCTAGTGCAAACTAAAAAAATTAAATTTACAAAGTAATAATGAATTTAACACAGACCTGTGCCCTTTTTAAAGTCCGAATTTGAATGAAGTTTTCATAGCACCATGGCTGGGAAAAATGATGATGCTTCCAAGAATTGTAAACAGCTAACAGTGTTAAGTGATCACCTTCCGGCTGATGAAATTTTGCCTTTTTCTGGTCTGCTATTTCTTGTTTGTCCTTCAAAATATAATAATTCTTTTTAAACTCTTTAAGAAAAGTAAACTGAAACGCGCTTTGTGGGGAAAAAGAAAATCACCTTTGGTCTGTAGAAAACATTTTGCACTGACAACATTGAAACAATAGTGAGCACTTCATCCGAACAACACAAATCTACCGACATGATCAGCAGTTTGGCCAAACTAGGTTCTAATGGAAATTCAGCCATCTAAATTCGAAAAAACATTTATCAAATTCAAACAAGATTTAAATATCTGCGCAAGACAAAATTATTGTTAATTGAATAATCTGAAAGTTAATTCCCAATTTCAAACTGATTCGACTACAAAAACCGAGTGTAATTATAAATGAATCGTTAGAAATTTTTCATAAGCGTCATTATATCAACACTGTAATAAAATTTAATCTTCCATATTCAGCAAATAAATTAAAGGTTTTTTGGGCTTCGAAATTGTATTACAGTGAGACATACCCTTCTGCCAAGTCTAGTCAACAGTCCATCGTTGTCCAGAGCACTTAAAGTGTGCAACTGTGTTAAGGCTGTAATCATAGCTTCTACTGGCGGAGCATCCATAAAATCAAAATCAATTAAATTGTTGATTCCCATAGCTTTTAGCTGCAGTAGTGTTGACGCAAGATTTGTTCGCTGTATTTCAGGAACAGGTGTAGGCAACATCTCATCCCTGAAACGGTGATATTCAAAAAATTAGTTGATTGAAATTTAAAGACCTTACAAATCGAAGTTATTTAAAAGAATTTTTGGAAATAAAAGTTTACAAAGAACAAACAGTCATCAGTACGCTAACACAAGGCATGCTGCAGAAGTATGGTTAAGTTGATAAAATTAATAAAATAAAAAGCACCTGTAAGCCCTTTCTGTATAAAGTCTGTAACATTTGCCAGGGCCCGTGCGACCTGCTCGACCGGCTCTCTGCTTCGCTTGTGCTTGAGAAATTGGTGTAACCACTAGCGAATCCATACCACTTTTTGGATTGTATATTTTTTGCTTCACAAAACCCGGATCAACGACATAATAGATCCCATCTATCGTCAATGAAGTTTCGGCAATATTTGTTGCAATTACTACCTGAAATATGAATTAAACATTTAATTATTTCGAGAGATAATTGGTGTCTCACTGACTGTATAACAACTGAAGCAAAATAGCACGGAATTTTCACTTTTCGGCTGCCTGGCGGTGCAGGCTCAAATATTCGTGTTTGCATTTCACTCGGTAGCGCACCATACACGGGTAAAATTATTAATTCAGGCACATCCGGACCAAGACTTTTCATTCTTTCGTACAAAACTTCGCAAGAAGTGTCAATTTCTTCCTAAAAAATATGTTCATAAAAAATATACATTAGTTAAGTGAAAACAATTTCCATCGCATCATATAAAATCAGAACTCCAGAACAATTCAAGTTCTGGAGCAATTTTAAGTATCAGATGACTTTGCAGGATTGAAAGTGTCATATAATTAGTGAATTCATACCTGTCCAGTGAGAAATACAAGAACATCGCCCGGAGGTTCGGTAAGATGGATTTGCATGACAGTTATGTGTGCTGCGTCTAAATAATCCGTTTCTGGTTCACGTGTATAAAGGATTTCAACAGGGAATGTTCTACCGGGTATTGTAAATATAGGGGCTTCATAAAAATATTCTGAGAATTTGACTGCGTCCAGTGTAGCACTAAAAAACAAATTGTGATCCTTAATCTTTAATTCCATTAAAAGGAGGAAATAAAACTAAAATTAGATGTACCACTTCATATAAATTTCTAAACATGTTTTGAAGCAAGCCTAAAATTACTGTGCTTGCAACACCGAACAAAGAACTTTATTTCCTTCAAAATAAAATGTCGAAGGAGAATAATGAAACAGAAACATACCTAGTAACAATAAGTTTGAGTTCCGGTCGTTTTTTCACAGCAGCTTTCAGAAGTCCAAACAAAACATCAGTATGGATGGTTCTCTCGTGAGCTTCGTCTAACATTATTACCGAATAAGATGTTAAATCCGGATCTAACAAGCATTCTCTAAGCAACATACCATCCGTCATGTACTTCACTACAGTGTCTTGGCTGAAAACGTAACGAGTCGATTAACCTTTTTCAAACTTCGCACGAAAGTATTCGAAAAACACATTCGTTCACCAATTCCGTTTATGTAAAAGATCAAAAAATAATGCAAAATAAAACGAATAAACCTTGTACAATCCTCGAATCGAATAGTATAACCAACTTCAGAGCCAAGTCTACAGCCCATTTCTTCGGCAACGCGTTTCGCAACAGACATCGCAGCTACTCGTCTTTAATAAACAACGCAATTAACTGGATACAAAGTAAATGAAAGAAAAGTATTAAAATAATATTAATAATATCACTAATAAGAGTGACAGAATACTGACCGGATACATGATGTCTCAAATACGGCACGATATATGATCATACTTTATAATTTTAATTTCATATATATCTTTTGATATTCATTAAAAAGTAAACAGTAAGTAAAAAGCAGTAATCGAAAGCATTTCGCTACAGTATCAGCAACGGCACATTATTCAAGGTTTGTATCAACAGATTTTAATACATTGAGTCAACTCGCTCAGAAGCACCACTAAAGTCCAATTACATTCAGATAGCGATTTACATTTTGAAGTGACGATCTCGACATTTAGCTTTTCGCAATTTGATTGTAACTTAATCAGATTACATACAATCCGCATTACTGAACTGATCACCATAAAGTAACACATAATAGAATTCAATTTTAAACGAAAGAACTTGAGTAGATCGTAAAAGAGCAGATTCAAAGAGTATTTTAACTTACCTCGGTTGGGTACATCCAATCCGGCCACGAGCAGTGTAACCAACTTCAACCATGTACTGAGTGATTTGAGTCGTTTTCCCGGAGCCGGTTTCACCAATAACAATCAAAATATTCTGCGCAGCAACTGCTTCAAGAAGCGCTTTCTTCAATGCAAAAATTGGAAGCGATTCGCGCTGTTCTCTTAGTGACATATTTGTTCGTTTCCCATACGTCGCTTTTCCACCAGCAGTTACATGTCTTAACCATTCCGGCATTTCCTGAATTATTTTAGACACTTTTTTCTGTAATATCTCATATAGAGATTTAAAAACATATCGTCAACAAAGTCAAAAGAAAACATTTCAAATTATGGTGATAAGCGGTACCGATGCATTGCAATTCACACTAATAAGAACAAAGCAACTGAGGAAGTGTCAGTTGTGGCCGTGGAAAAGTTAATAGAATGCAAACATAGTACATCTCATAAAAGCTTAAACTGGAATTATAGTTTATAAAGCGACCTTTTGTCTTTGGCTTGGTCCCGAAATATCCACTGAGGTCTGGACGGACAATTCTGCCATAGGATCATTGATTCTGGCAGTGGACGAAAGGCCACTACGTTGAGAATGAGATTCCTGCTCACGCTGTGCTTGCAGTTTTTGGTCTCGCCGTTCTTTCGCAAGTGCACTCTGGAATAGTTTGTGGTACAGATACCGCAAATGAAAGCATTGCAAATAGAGGACCAGAGAGTGATAAAAGGATGAATAAAAGCTGTAACTAGCAGACCTGCATCAAAGCTGCCTGTGCCAAGCTTCCGTCCGGATTTTTCACAACTTTTACTGGCTCGAGATCTAACACGCATTTCCCATAACCGCGTAAGAATTCCGGCTCTTCCTCAACAATTTCTATTTCGATATCTTCACCATCACTTTCTTCTAAAGAAATGATATTCAACAAGATGACATCAACAATATAAACTGGAAAAAAAGAAACAAGAAGCGTCTAATTTTAGGCAAAATTTGTATTAACAAATATACCATCATAATTCCTAAGAACGCCAAGCTCTTCATCAAAATCAGGCAAATCGGCATTAGTGATCGCTCCTCCGCCTTGCATTTGCCTCAATTCCCATCTTTCAGGAGTCGTTAAACGAACACGACTTTTCGCTACACTGAAATTTATTCAAATATCAAATTCACCTAACAAAGTGATACTTCATGACAAAACAAAAAAGTATTCTACTCGGAACTATTTGTTTTAATCGCAAACCTTTTCGACTGAGCAACAGATACATCGTCCGGATTGCGAGAATTCGAAGGGTCCATCCACGGTGCTTCAGGATTGCGAGGTAGACGAGCGTCATCTGCAACTGAGGTAGACTCGTGTGGGTTAAGATCTTCTCCTGTTTCTTGATCAACTTCTTTCATCGATAAACCAATCTTCCCTAATTCGAATTTAATAACCTAAAGCAACTTCTGAGGTATAATTGACAAATATACAAAGCGACCGACAAGATATATGCTAATATCGGTAAGATATAAAGCGGGAGTTCATCCTATTAATTTGCGTTTACGATACCATCAAAGTATTGATACGTCTCAAAGAAATTTTCGATTATATAAATTTGAACAAGAATGTCCATTCACCTTAACTTTGACCTTCTGGTTTCGATTTAACACATCAGAGACGGCGTTTACCCTGTCCTGTCTGATTTGAGATATGTGTAAAAGACCTTCAAAGCGCTGACGTAAGCCTTCTAACTAAACAAAAGTGTGGTATTAGCAATACAAATAATTGAGAGGACATGAATTAGTACACAATTCAACAGTACATAAGGAAGACAAACAACTCAAGTTTCAGAATCGAAATGCCAAAATTTTGAAGTAATACAATACAGTTAACTTGCAGCGGGTAAAAATTCAAGGAATTTGATACTTGAACAAAGGCTCCAAAACTTTGGATGCTTGTCACTCGGCCACTGTAAATGTCACCAACAACTGGAGCAAGACTGATTCTCCTCCTTCCATTTTCAGAAGAATGTGATCTACTCCTGCGATGTCGTCTTAAAATGGTATTGTTAAACTAAAAACTGTAACGATTACTCATTAATTACTTTTTATCTCATTATTTTAGTAATTATAAAGGTCCTTTCAATCTTAGTTTCATCCTCTTTATATCTAAAAAGTGTGAAACCTACCTTGACGACGGTTCATCTTGCTTTTCACCCCGATCTCTGTTTCGCTTCCTTTTTCGATCCCTTTCATTTGAGTTTTGCTCATGTCTTCGGTCATGCCAATGTCTACCTTTTCTATTGTTAGAGGAATGACGATGCTTTCTTTTTTCGCTATCTACACTTCTTGACCGACGGCTGTTTCTTCCCCTTTTATCTGATTTATCCGTACTTTTTGCCTGAATTCCAATTCATTTGAGAGTCAAAGAAAAACTTGAAGGGTAAATTGATAAAGCAAATTGAAAAATTAAACTCAACTTATACATAAAACCAAATTGAAGTCTAACAACAATACTTTTTTCTAAAAAAATTCTCTCTGAAATCATTTTAGTAGAGACCATATACTAAACATAACATCACCAACAACGTTCAGTTTCAGAAATAAACTGAAAAAACGACGAACTTTTGCTTCCTTCCATTTTGGTTGTAAGCCCTCTAGTTCCATCATAAGTTTGCTTGCATCAACATTTGGCATCGCAAGAGCTGGAAGTGTTTCGCGAAGCAACTCCTTATCATCCGAAAGAGTCTTTGTGTTTGCGACCTCTTTCTTTTTTAGTTGCATGTGTTGTATAATGCGAAGGAGATTGGCTAACAGAGAATCATCAAACTGAAAATAAAGCAAAAAGTAACACTGCTGTTAGAATATATATCACGTTTCCTTCGTCTTACCTCTTTTCCTCTATTTTTGATTAGCCACGAATCCAATCTATCACGTTTAACTGAAATTTCGCTCCTTGTAAAAGCGAAGAAATTGGTCGTTTTTCAGGAATAAAACCAAATTCATTTTCAAAACAAAATTCATATAAATCACACCTGATCAGCCAATCCTTCTTTCATAATTGATTTCTTGAACTTGTCGAAAGTTGGATTTTCAGTGGCCAAATATATGATGAATTCTGCGACATCTTTGTCTGCTAGCCCAAAGTGATTGTCAAGTTCGACACATACTCTTGACACTAGCGAGAGGCGTTCGAGCTCCTCCATTTCTGATATTTGAGTAACTTTATTTCCACCGTCAATGATGATCGACAAAACGCGACACTATTACGTCAACATCAACTTATGCCTCATTCCTCCATGATGGACAGCATTCATTGCATTTTGTACCATAGTATCGCTCGGGAGTCAAATAGCAAAATAGTGTCTGACAATGACGTCATCGTTGTGAAAATTTTCATTCCAATCTTCACTGCTTTCTTACACTCTTGTTGCTGTCACGGGATAACGCAGGACTGTCTGGTGCGATCAAAGATAGCGAGTGCTAAGTGAGGTGAAGGCTCTGAAAACATTCTGTAGTTTTTAAAAAAAGTGCCGTGATCGTCGTATCGAATACTTCGGTGTTGTCGCTTGACACACACAACGCATCAAACGTATCAGTTGGCGTCTTCATTCTCCTGTAGCGCAAATATCAGAAATTAAAACTTCTTTGATCTGAAATATACCATTTAGTATTTTACAGGTATTTGAAATGCGGTGGTATGATGAAATGAGAATGAGAACTGAGGTCAGGTTGAGGGGTGAAATTTAAAAAAATGTAGCAAGACAGGTTAGGCAATTAAGTTTTTTTTTGTTCCTTGATGAAATGAGTCTTGTATACTTAAAGTGTAGTGCGTGGGTCGTATGTCTTTGATGTGACTAACAGTCCGTATTTGTCAGTAGGTATGAATCAGCATTCCTGTCAATAAAGGTATGCTCGTGATAATTTTACACGCCATTCGAATTTACTTCAAATAATTAGTATGAAGTTAAGAAAGAAATTTCCATCAATATTTTGCCGTAGAGAGGATATATGTTGCGTATGGAAACAAAAGTTTCCATGATATTTATGCTTTTTTTGTTCATTAACTAGCGATCTTTGCCATAATTATTTTTGTGGCAATTTTTTTCTATAATGAAGTAATAATTGTCCTTAGGAAAAGGTATGTCGATTAGTTGGGGAACGCAGTATTCGAAACTGAAAACAAATCTTCGTTTGGCAATTAATCGTTTGAAATTATTGGAGAAGAAGAAAACTGAGATCGCGCTGAAATCACGCACCGAAATTGCTGATTTCATTGCAAGTTCGTTTTGAGTTTCAGAATATTTTTTGCACGACAACATCTTTATGGGTGTAATTAGTTGTTTAGGATTCTGGGTTATAATTAAGAAGCACATTACCTTTCATTACTTCTGCACAAGCCTTCCAAAGCATCCTCTTCATTGTCCTTTTTTATTAGTGGCTCACTAGCTATGTGTATTTTTAAACGTACGAAAATAACTGCGAACTTTGGGAGATGTGATTCAGCTTATTAACATATGAACCAGAACTTCAGAACTTTATACTTATATTATAGCAGACGTTATTGCATGTGATCTTTGCATGCATTATGATCATGTGATCATGTGATCATGTGCATGTGATCTTAGTGTAAATAGTTTCTGATTATTAATCGCAAATTGTTTAAGATGGACATTTTTAATTAAATAAATCAATTTATATATAGACATTATATATAAGACATTATTGAATCAGATATTTCATTCAGATCATAAGGAAGACCGCGCTCGTATCAGAGTAGAAAACATCATAAGGGAAGATTTTCTTGTCGAGGCATACGAGTTGCTGGAAATGTATTGCGATCTTATTCTGGCACGATTTGGTCTCATAGAACAAATCAAGTATTTGTTTCTTCCTGATTTTTATCCTTTTATCTCTACTCGCAAGTTAATTCTAACAAAAAATGTTACAGGCAACTTGATGATGGAATTGCTGAAGCAGTAATTAATATTATATGGGCTGCTCCTCGTGTGGCAACAGATGTGAGTGAATTCAAGGTAACAGTATTTCCTTCCTGGAACAAGTTTCCATGAGAGTCTTTTAGAATTTTTCAACAGACTTCCGTTAACATCTATCCCAGTGCAAAAGCATGGAATCTAAAAGATATCGTTCTGATTCAAGTGAAATAATTCTAATTGTTGACTCTCTCAGTCAATTGTTAGGTTGGACATTAAGATTTATAGATGCAATATAAATACTTTTCATAGCGTCTGTACCAGTCTTCATTCATCACATATTTCTGGCGTATATATGAATAAATAACCTGCGAAAACTGACATTAGCTTTACTAACCTTATTGAACTTTATTTTTCTCGAGGAATTTATTTTGGCTCGCAAAATTAATTTATTTGTTTTTGATTTGAAATATTTTAGGTGATTAGCGACCAACTGACCATGAAATATGGCAAAACCTTTGCTGAAGCAGCGCGTAATAACCAACTAGAATATCCTGCTAAAGTATCACCAAAACTGATAGCCAAACTAGGTGTGCAAGCACCTCCGAAACTTTTGGTGGAGCGGTGTGGTTTCTTTCTATCTTTATTTGGTAAAGAAAAGGAAAGAAAAGAGTGCTTATTTAAAAGCGATTTAAAGTCACTCTATTCAAGATGAAACGTTATTTCCATTAAAAAAAAGCTTCAACATAATTTGTCCAGATATATGATCGAAATTGCAAAAAGTGCAGGAATACCGTTCACTCCTGACCCAAATATTATGCGCGAAGACGAAGTTGCTGCTGCTGAACAGATGCTGATCGATTTTAGAAATCAAGGCGGAGTAGGTTTTCTTATATTTCTAATATATTCTGTATTGGTTTTGGAAGAAGTGCATTTCTTTATTTGGAAAAGGCATTGTTTGAGGGCAATTTATTATCACATTTGTTTAGTAAAAATTGCTTTCAGCAAGGTTATGGTTGGATGTATCCCGATGACAGTGGTTCAGATAATAAAAAGCCGCCTTTTCCACCACCGAATGATGGATCTAGTTAGCAGTTGTTTTTTTAGTGCTATTAATATTATATGGTTTACTTGAAGTAATTTGAAGAACATTTTTGCCGATTACTATTATGTGAATGGTAATATCTGCTTTTCAGTGTATTATCCGGGACCACCTCCTCCTGCTGGATTTAAAGGTGCATTCGGGAGAAATGATGAGGAAAATATTCCAGCTTCTGCACCATTGTCAGATCCAAATAATTATGGTAATTGTAATTATCCATGTCTGAATCAGGTTTGTTTCTATACCGTTCATTACATAATCACAAGTACGAGCAGAATTATTCATGCATTTTTTTTCGTTTTCTCTTCCTGTTGACCTATGTTTATTACTTAGATTTTAAATTAAAGGATCGTTATTCTGAAAATGGATTAATTGTTTTTCTTTTTTCATACTCATTATTATCGATTTGAGTTGCCATCACTGATTCAGTTAGAGTTTTGATGAAGTATTTGTATTGTTTCACAAACTACAAGTTGCGAAGAAAATCAGGTCTTTTATAGATCGATGATTCATCGGGAAAGATCAAAATTAAGCCGAACATATCACCAGGAGTTCCATCGGCGCCTCCCACAGATGCTAATTCAGTCCCTTCAAAAATAGATCCTAATAGTTAGTTACTTCTTCTATTTTACCATTTTCACAGAAGCAGTATAAAAAAGAGTGTGCTAATTTTCGAGTAAAATTTTTGGATCTTCTACGAAATGAATGGAGTGCTCGTTGCAGCAACCCCAGAGTTTCCTGAACCACCGACTGATTTTCCGGAAATGTTCAACCCACCACCCTTTCCACCACCGAAAAGTAATTACGAACAGCAACCAGGTATTGCCGGTGGAAACGATGAGCTTGATTTTGATGATTTGGCGAAACGCTTTGATATGTTAAAGAAGAAAAATGTCAAATAGGTATTACCTCTTTGAAGTATGTTTGTACGAAAGTTTTGCTTACTCCATATATTTGCTGTATTTATATTGCATAAAACATTCTAAAGCAATGTCATTTTGTTCACAAGATTCAATAAAAATGTGATCACCTTCAACTTATGGGGAAATATCGCTGACCATTCACGTTTTTTTCGTGGATTTCAAATCCACTAAACTCGAAATAAAGATTATGTTTATGAAGTTTTCCAGCTACAGTCATCATAATCATCATCATTTATCATAATTGGCTGACAAGCGACAAAGAACCCTTGCAACTTAGTTGATCGATATAGATATATTTGGCTTTAGAAACAGGAAAAAGGTTCTGTTATTCATGATTTACCTGAACATAGGTCGCATTTAAATAAGACTTGGTTAATAGTTCGTAGCTTGGGTAAGAAGCTAGTTAAAAAAACTCAACCCAAAATTGAATTTCAGACAATCTGCAAAATTTTGTCTACAACGATATCTAAGCAACATCAGTTGTGTTTCTATGAAATCAAAAAAAAAAAATCGTCATTGTTTGTTTAACTTCTGTATAGTTTGTAAAATGATCTCAACAACTGTATCAATATTGCGGTCATGAAGCATCGTATCATGCGAAAATGGTATGTCTACCATAGTTCTAGAGCAAAGGTTCATCCAGCCATAATCATCCTCATCTTCTGAAGTGTTTTGAGAAGGTGATTTTAGGAGAGTTACGTGAAGTCGAGGAAGAGTTTCCGAACTTCGATTTGGGATGTAAATACGCATCATCTTCAGCAACTCCCATGCATTTTCGATTATTGCTTCCAGTAATTCACTGTCGATTTTCATGCCATCAGTTTGATATTCTACAATTTTACAGATCTGCTGTCGATGCTCCTCATAAGACGATAGTTCTGTCGAAGATGTGTTACTGCGCCAATGTGCCGTTCCATCAATTGATATTATATCATTTATATGAATACCTGAAATAATGTTTTGAATGGAAAAAATACATAAGTTCCAAAAATTTTTTATAAATTTTCTTTGTGATGCATAAAATACTTGCAGTTATGTCACACAAATTTCATTACTGGACAATTAAGTTTTCATTATTCTTTTCTAATAGATTTGCTTTTCAAATATTTCAAAGAAATTATATCTTCTATTGATTTGTCTTCTATAAATCGAAGTTAGACAATTTATATGCTCAAACAATAAGTATTTACCTTCTCGTTGTAGTTGTACAGCACATTGATAAGCCAGAATAGCACCAAATGATGCACCGATAAATATGCGGATTTTTACTTTGCATAAATGATTATGCAAATCGCGTATATATTTAGAACATAAACATTCAATGGATTGATAAAATTCGGGATCCCTTAAATAACTTCGACGAAAACTATCAGGATGTTCAACACCAATTATTCTAAATGAACCTGATAGGTTTCTTATTAGTTGCCGTATCAATGGTGCATACGTCCATGTCACGCCACCGACGAGTGCGTGAAAAAAAACAATTATTCCACTTACTGTGACATTAATATTTGATTCGCTTTGATGAAACAATCGAACTGTTGTCCGATTCTCGGATGTTTGTAAATTTTCTATCTCTCCTACAAGGTCACTTTTTTGTGATATTAGATCGTTGTTTTTTCCAGATTCAGAATTCATAAATCCGATTCTCTTATTTAGGAGAGAATGATTACTGCTGACAAATCGCTTTTGCAGTAAACTGCTTAACTCCGTGAATACACTGAATGTTAATATTTCTTCAAGTTCTACATGAATTTTCAATTCTGATTCAATAAGACGTCTTAATTTGAGAGTAAGCAATGAAGTTCCTCCTTCCAGAAAGAAATCATCATCGTTTCCAATCCATTTTTTCTTCAAACATTCACTCCAAATTTTTCTTAACTTCAAATCAACAACATTTCCTCTATAATTATTCGTAAAGGGTTGACGAAAATGTTTCTTAATTACTTTGTGCCTATTTTCTCTAAATTCTATTTTATCGTCTGCTATTCCTTGAATGTTAGAATTAATTGACATTTGTTGTAAGAAAGAAATCATTCGTTGACACAATGCCAAGATACGATTGTTTCTGCGATTTTTCATTCTGATTCTGCAACAGTAATAGCTTTTCACACAGTCTATTTCAACTTCAATTTCATGAATACAATCCATTGGCGCTTGAGTTGCTCCTTTTCCTAGTACTGATTCACAATTTTCTTCCAATCTGTAGCGAAAATTAAAAAATGCAGTTTTATGAAGACGATTCACTACTTCATTACCCGGTAATTTCATCGTTTTCAGTTTAATTCGGATTAATTTTAAAAGTACAATAAATGGCACCTGCTCGAATTGGCGAATCTCATTAACTGTTTCATTAATATTTTCAACATATTTCTTCATAAGTCTTGCGTATGTAATTGGAGAAAGGATTCTTCCCGTTTGCTGATTAGATATGACAACTTTGGTTTGATCCATGCAACTATCCATGGTGTTTCTTGGAGCAGTAGTGATAATATCAGACTCCTTTAAAGCGATGTGTGCACTGTTTATCAGTAAAAAGTTGAGAAAATTGCCTATAATATTGTTTGTTTTGAAGGAGCGGTTAGCGGCTGGTACATTAACAATTAGTTGATTGGTGCCAGATAATTCATGTAAAGATGAAGTGAACGCACTAAGAAAGGCTACAAGAGGAGTGATTCCAAAATATTCGCAAATTTTTTCAATCTTTCTCATTTCAAAAGTAAATTCTGTTTCTGAATAGTTTCTAAAATTTCTCCATTTCGAATATTGCTCTGCTTTTCTAATAATTCCAGAATCTAAGTTCTGATTCATCCGATCAAACTGGTTCATTTTATTTTCGTCTGTTTCCCAGTTTTCTAAAATGCTATTGTAATTCGGGTCGTTTGTAATCCATCTTACAATCTTATCAGCATATTTATCTGCTAACTCTTCTAAAAAGTGCTTTCGTCCAAACTGTTCGATGGAATATTCGGCATATGTAAATGGCAATCTTGAATTGCTATCGAATTGCTTGTTTATTATAATTTCTTGATAGAGATCTCTTAGATCATTTTCCAGAAGATTTGTTGACCATGCATCAATAATGATATGATTAATCCTCAGAATAACAGCATAAGATGCATTGCTGGTTGCTTCAATTGCGCATAAAACTGGTGGTTCACATTTGAGATCCATTTCCTCATCTTGAAGTATTTTGATCCTTTCCGCAATTATCTCATCATTATGAATTACTGTTCCTATTGTGTAAGAGCTACTCTGTAGAGCACTGCTATAAAAATAAGTTTCTGTCCCAGAAAGTATTTCTTGGCGCACATCGTAGTTTTGTTCCGGAAAAATTGTTCGAAGCGATTGTTGTCGCAAAACTAAGCGCAGAAAAGACAATTTCAAATGTCGCAGGCTCAATGGTACATCAAATTTCTGTATAAATATGAGTTCATAATATTTCCGTTGTTTCGTTTCATTTAAGAATTGAAATTGTTGCTGCTGAAAGCTCAGTCGAATGTTATGAACATCGAAAACTTTATTGTTCCCGTAAAAGTCTCGAATCTCATAAATCCTCTCACTACTTGGCTCTTTATGAGAGTGCAAAATGTACTGTGACAGTCTCCTCACTGTTCGATGGCGAAAAACAATATTTACATCGATACAATTTGCAATATTAGCTTCTATTAATTCGGTCAGCCGCGCTGCCGAAAATGAATTTCCACCAACTGCAAAAAAATCATCATTCACTGTGATGTTATCAACCTGAAGAACTTTCCGGAAGAATCCAAGCAACTTCCATTCAATATTGTTTTCTGGTTCTTTGTGTTTGAAATATTGATCACTTTCAATATCTTTTAACATTTCCAGTGCCGTAAGGTCAACTTTTGAATTTTTGGTAAGTGGATATTGCTCTAGATAATGATATTGAGTTGGTACCATATAATACGGTAAATGCTCTAGCATGAATTGACGTACAGTATCGGGATGGAACCGGATCTCTGCCAAATCTGACAAAACGACAAAAGCCACAAGCTGATGTTGTTCACCTATTAATTTTGGAATTACTTTCGCAGATTTGACTTGTGGATACTGACAAAGAATGGTTTCAATTTCACCGAGATCAACACGATATCCGCGAATTTTTATTTGCTTATCGTATCGCTCAAGGAAAAGAATGTCGTTATTTGGTTGTAATCGAACCATATCCTTGGTACCAAAACTACGACAAGCACCGATTACTTTATTTTCATTTTCTTTCTCGGTATCTTCTGGTGCTGCATCACTTGAAACAATATAACCTCTCGTAATCCCTATCCCTGTGATGCATAATTCGCCTACTCCCATTCCTGCTATAATCTCTCCACAGAAATTTCTTACCTTAGTAACAACATTTATTATTCCACGACCGATATTATTCGGTCTGTCTAATAGTTTCATTCTTTTGGTCAAAGCATAAGCTGTCGTTTCAGTTGGTCCATAGTTCTGAATTACATTGACATCTGATTTTAGTGCACATTCTAAAACTCTTCTGCTTGCACTTTCCGCTCCAACAATCCAATATCTGAGATGTCTCAGTTCCCCAATCTCTTCATCCGTAAAGGTATCCACCAAGCTAGGAAATAACAGAGCATGAGTAATTCTTCCACGCCTCACTTCATCCAAAAATTTACGTGTCATGAAAAAATCTTCTCGAAGAAGCAAAGCACCACCATTGATCAACGCCATCATAATTTCCAGAACACTATTATCGAATGCAAAGTTTGTAAACTGGTAAACACAATCCCCAGGTTCCATCCAGAAATCTCGAGTGCATGCTATGGCCATATTGAGAAGACCATGTTGACCAATTGCTACTCCTTTAGGCTTTCCAGTAGTTCCCGATGTAAATATCACATAAGCTAAGTCATTCAGCGTGTTTCTTAGACATATTGTATAGTTTAGTAGTTCTTTATCAAATTTTATATCATTCAAATTGATTTGCGATGCATTTTGAAATGAGAAATTGACTGAATCTTGAAATTCTTCATCAATAGTAACATAGAACTTGGCTCCCATTTGCTCCAGAATATTTAAGATTCGCTTGGCTGGAATTGTGGAATCTATAGGAAGATAAGCAGCTCCAGCCATAATAACTGCCAAGCATGTTATTAATGTTTTGATACTATTACGAGCAATAACTGGTATCACTGTATCAGCTCGCAATGTACTACCTGTTATTTGTGCTACCTTTTCTTGTATAATTTTTGAGGTTCGATAAATAGATCTAATTAGAGTATGATAATTAATGCTTTCGTTATCTCCAATTACAGCTGTCTTTGCTGTTAAACGGCCGTTGACCACAAAGGCTTCTCGAAGTAAATGCTGATAGCTGAATATTGGATAATCGCATTTCTGGAGAACTTTTTCATCTTCATTTCTTACAAAACATTCTTCACTTTCATTTGACACTATTCTTTCTTTTGTTTTCATATCCAATTCTGCATTGTTTTTTACGCTCAAATATTCTCCAGCAAAGGTAATGTTACAGGGACATTTGCATCTTTTTTCATGTTTCATCTTATCGCTTTTTACAATAACTTTTTCCATTCTACGAATCGTTCTAGCCCACTGGTCGAGTATTATACTTATTGATTCGTCATGGAAGAGATCATATTTATATTCAATTTTCGCAATAATATCTTCTCGATTCTGTGTGAGAAATAACGTCAACACACACTTCGTAAATTCAGAATTATCATTTAAAATCTGGTGGCAATGACTGGAGTATTCTTCATAGTCGTTAACAATCATTATATCAGTAAAATTAGAAATTCCATATTTTTCGCATAATTTTTCCATTTCTTCAATAGAAATGTCAGCATTTACGTAAGCGTCCGCTAAACTCCTAGCAACATCATGGATTAGATCCTGATAGTTCCTATAATTTAAATTGACTACCACTGGCAAAACATTGATGCACATCCCGACACACTGTTGGTCCTTAGAATCACGCATATCTATTGGACATGAGATCGCCATCTTGGAAGTTGTTGTTATTCCTGAGAGTACCTTACTGAATGCAGCCAGCTGTACAACAAACGGTGAGCAACAATATTTCTTAGCTACTCTCATAACCAAACTATTCAAACTTTTGAAATTTTTGCAAAAATATTTACATCTTTTACTGTTTGAACCGACAGTAATTTTTTTTTCATAATGAAGATTTGCGCCTTCCGCATCTTTCAGAGTCTGAGACCAAAATTTTTGTATTTCAGCGCGACGTTCCTTGAATCGCTGCTCAATTCGCTTACTGAATTGAATGAAATTGTCGTCTTTCATTGAGATTTGTATATCTTTGAAATAGTTATTATAAAGCTCTCTGGCTATTATAGACAGTGACTTTCCATCGCAAATAACGTGACTTATTTTAAAGTGAAATTCATAGTGAAAATCATCAAATAGTTCTTGCTTGATGCCATCGATCAACCAGCAAAGAATCGGTATTGTATAAAAAGGATTCGGTATTTTCAGCACTTCTTGCTCAAAATTAGCCACTCGTGGTATAATGTAAATTTCAGTACCAGAATGAATTTCTTGAAAAAAAATATTGTTCTGGCAGTAGAATGTTGTACGAAGTGCAGAATGACGCATGATTATTAGATTAAGGGAATGTTTTAGTTTTGATAAATTTATAGATTTTAAGGCTATTGAAAAGCCCGTCTGATAAGCTTTGATAAGATCAGCTATCAAAGCTGCAGCATTACTAGTAATAGTAGTAGTGATGAAAGAAATGGGTGTCATTATTTTTGTGGCTTCATTATAATACATCTTGACCAAAGATTCCTGAAGTGGACATACACGAATTTTTGACTTTTCATTTGATGTAATTAATATCATCGAATTTTGCTTTTTGCATATGTATTCCGCAAGTTCGCTAACCGTTTGATATTTGAAAATTATTTGTGGCAGACACCGATAGCTGATTTGCTGCTCTATTTTATAACAAATAGTTGGAATCAGTAGAGAATGACCACCTCTTGCAAAGAAATTGTCAAAAATTGAAACTTCTGGACTTTCTAATACTTCCTTCCAGATCCCAAGCAGGGTTTCTTCTAATATCCAATTCTTTCTGATTATGCTTGAAACTTCAACCATGTCTTCTGGATTATCGATCATTAGTTTTCTATCGTTGATTAATTTAGACGATTCTATAATGTCTTTCACGTTCGCAGATCGATTAGACAATACTTGAGAAGCTATTTGAGCAAATAATTCCATGGTATGTTTTATCTTTAAATCACTATACTTTTCAATTCTGTACTCCACCGACATTTCAATATGATCCTCAAATTCGGTACAATACCATGCTTGATCGAATTTTGAATATTTTGCACTAATCTCTTCGGCAACTATTTTAACTCCTTCAATTTTTAATAACTTTATTGTGGAGGTATTTTGAACAACAAACGAAATCTGATATGCTTCTGTACTACCTGTATTGCTTCGTTTTGGGTTTATCTTCTGAATGATGTAATTGAAAGGAATATGTTGAAATTGAAGAGCTTCGGCGATATTTTGTTGAAGATTGTGAATTAATTCGGAAACACTTTGAAAAGTAGTATCAATTGGAATAATTACTGTATTGACAAAGAATCCAACGCAGCTTATTGTATCGGATGTACGATTCAGTGCAGAAGTTACAACAGCAAAGCGATCTTTCTGTTGATATTGATCAGCATGTTGAATACGGGCAGTTAAGGAGAATATGCTTAACAAATAAGCAAATAATGTGCATTGTTCTGCCACACAAAAATGCTTAATTGCAGATAAATCTAAAGGCATTTTTAATTTAATTACATTATTTCTCCTATCAGAATCTTCATTGGACAGATCACCTTGAAATGACAATGGTGGAAAATTCTGCAATTTTAGGATCATCCCTTTCAGATTTTTCCATTCTTCTTGCATTTGTAGTTCATCTCTTACTATTGCGCTATCAGTTGACAAACGAGAATTAGCGCTTTTTAGTTCAATCTCAAAATTTTCTAACTCGCTTCGTTGTTTCAAGCAGAAGTCAGCATAACTACATTCATCAGTGCTATCAAAGGAAACACAGCCTCCATTGATAAGTTCATTGTAAAATTCCACAAGATCATTAGTGAGTATAGCGATCGAATAGCCATCAACAATTAGATGATCGAGAATTAGCATAAGCTGTAGATTGCCGGAAACAATTATTGCCAGCAAAGGTGTATGGTATAAATCTGGTAATTCTGATCTTGTTCTTAATCTTCTTCCATCATGATTAAGTATGTTTTTATGAATTTCAATGTAGCATTCACTCAAAGATGCCACTTCCTGAATTGCTTTTCCAGCTTTTTGATGAAACATTGTGCGTAGAAGTCGATGCTTTCGCATGATGTAATTTATAGCAGTATTCAAAGCTTTAAGCTTCATATGACCATAGAATGTGATTAGAAATTGTAGTTTATAACCTTCCCGATATTCTTTTCCAAAGCTATAAAGAAATAAAAGCCTTTCTTGTTGTAAACTTACTGGAATACTTCCATCAAACCAGAATCCGCTCTTCTTCTTTGAATTCCAGAGCATCTTTTTTCTCGAGCCCAACAATTCATCGGAATTCTTAGATAATATATCAGCAGTGTTTAATAACTGATCGTTAGTTAATTTACCGGACTGTAGTGGATTAGATTTAGGTTTTGCTAATTCCACTTTTATTGAATTTTCAAGTTTTCTATGATCGCTTGTCGGGTAACTCGTTTTCAAGAGCTCTAAAATAGCTCTAAAAGATGCAAGTTGAAAGATATCCTGAAGTTGAAGGTCCATTCCGGTCTCGTGTTTGATGTTTTGGATTGCAATTAAAGCTTTCATTGAATCACCACCTACTTCAAAAAATGAATTATCGAGTTGAATGGCTTTTCCTGGAAGTAGTTCAGCAAATATTTCCATCACTTGTTTTTCCCATGATTCAAAAAGATGATTAATTTTTACAGGAATTTTTGAATTTCGAAGTTTTTCCGGTATAGGCAATAGTTTACGGTCAATTTTTCCATTGATACTTAGTGGGAATTGTTGAATAAACACGTACTGACTCGGAATCATGAAAGTTGGTAGTTTTGTCATCATGTACTCATTTAAATTTTTTATCATTAGTTCTTTTTCTTCCTGATCCTTCTTTATCATGATAATATCATTGGAAGAAATGATATAAGCTATTAGAAGTTCTTTTGTTTCTATTCTTTGCAAACAAACAATACATTCTTTAACTAAATGGTGACCTCCCAAAATAGCTTCAATTGCAGAAATATCAACTTGCATACCTCGAATTTTCACTTGAAAATCGCTACGACCATGAAAATGTAATTCACCCACCGCGTTTTTTATTTCGGCGAAGTCACCAGAACAGAAATAACGCTTATCGCAATTTAATAGCAATTCAAGTTGAGTCAGATTGTGATTGTTGAGAAATGTTATTTGATTGAGTTGCTCATTATCATGATAACCGCGACTAATACCTGGCCCCGAAGTGTGGCAAATTCCAGTAATACGTTGTTCACATAAATTCTTATCATTATCACATATGAAAAAGTGAATATTTCTAAGGGGTTTTCCAATCGATGAAGTTCTATCATAAATTTTCATTAACTTACAGGTGGAATAAATGGTATGTTCAGTCATGCCATATTGATTATGGAAGTGAAGTCCAATTTGGATAGCATCTTGTAAGACTTTATATTGAATATAATCACCACCGAAATTAATTTGTTCCAGATTTGTCAATTTTTTGAATTGTTCTAGCTGAATGGCAGATAAATAAGCTGGCATAATATAAGCATGGGTAACCTTTGACATTTCCTGTAAATCTGGTATTTGTTGACTTGCAAAGTGTATAGTCGCTCCGCTTGTTTGGGCTTCTAGAATATCTGCAAAAAAAATGTCAAATGATGGATTTACTACTTGATAGATGATACTGCTCGATTTAATACTTAATAGTTCCGCGTAGTTCATCAGCAAGTTGTTAAGTCCATAAAATTCGGTGCAGATTCCTTTTGGTATACCGGTGCTCCCAGACGTGTAAGTCATGTAGGCCAAGTTATGTTGAGTTAATTTTTTTCTCAACTCTTGATCAGAATATCCAGAAATTAAGGCAATTATTTTGTTGATATCACATCCAAATGCAAGATTTTGCTTCTCTGAATTCCGAACTAATATATCACAGGAATTTCTTGAAGCACTCTCAAAAACGCAATGATTTATGACATTATGTTGTTTTTGCTTGCATTCATAAATGACAGCTGGATAAATTAATTTTGCAAGGATATTATTCAGCTGTTCTGAAGAAGTTTCCGGATTCAAAGGAGCTACACCAATACCACATTTCCATAAAGCAAAAAGTGTTAGGAGAAGAGAAACAGATCGATCAAAAATTAGCAGAATAAAACTATCATTTCGCATATCTTCACCATGAAATTGCAACCAGTTTTGTGTAAGAAATCTTGATAATTGATTACTTATCCGTTGTAAGAATATGCTCGAAAATGATACTCCTCTTTGAAAAACGTTATTACAGTAAGGATTCATACTGTTTTGCTCATTGATAAGATCCAAAACGGTGCATTTCTGTGGAAAATCACATCGATTTTCAAACCTTAGCCGAAAACTCACAAATTCTTCCATAGAACATATCATTTTTATGTCTTGAACAAAAATATGCAAATTTTGCGACATTTTATAAAGAAGTCCAAAATACTGCTGTACCATTGTTTCTATAGTACTTTTGTAGAAACGATTGCCGTTATATTCAATCTTTATTGTCATACCTTCTTTATGATATTGAAAATACCAGACCTGATCGTATTGTGCAAAATTTGAATCATGATTATGGAAATATTTGTTAATTTGTTTCATATTTTCGTCTTCCTCATTATTATCACCACTTATATCATTATGATTGTTAGTGCTAGAAATGTCACTGCTATCGTCTAAAATAAATAAAACTTGAAAAAGTGGTGAATTTGATAAATCACGTTCTAAACACAATGCTGATATTAAATCATCGAATTGCAGTTGCTTTTGAACACTTTCATTTAAACGCTCATAAGATTTTGTAATAAAATCATGAATTCGATCGCTGGGATCAATCGTGTTGATCAATGGTACCACATTTAATAAGCAACCAACAATGTTGCATAGCTCAGAAGTTTCCCTTTGCGCAACTATTATTCCAATACACGAATCTTTGAATCCATGCCTTTTATACTGTAGAAGTTGAAAGTTGGCGATAAGAATGGAAAATTGTGTTACACAACACCAAACAGCTAAGTTCTGCAAACATTTCTGAATTCTGGAATCTACATTAAATTGTAAACAACATCCTGAATATCTCCCGAATTGAAGTTCAGTTTTGTCTACTGGCAGCGTTTGCAGCACAACATTGAGAAAAAGCTGTTGCCAAAAAGCTTCACGTAACTTTCGACTTTCAGAATCTTGTCTCTGTTGATCTTCTAGAAGAACAAAATGTCCATATTGATATTGAACTGGTTTGAGCGGATTTTTTTCGTAATAAAGTAAACGCAATTCATTTGTTAATAGCTTTATAGAAAAACCATCAATCATAATATGATGCATCTGAATGATAATCAGATTGGAACTTTTGATATCCATATTATACGTGTTTGTAATTTGGTTCTTTCTTGGGATCCATTGATTTTTTTCTTGATAAATTCGATCAAACATGTTTTCTTTCGATTTTCCGCTATCCGTGCTCTCTTCTTGGCCAGTAATAAATATTCTCATTGGAATGGAAAAATCAAATTGATCGATTGGTTTAAACAATTTGAATACATATCTAGATTGTACGCAAATTGAGAAATATGCTTCTGTGAGAGATGAAATTGTTTGACCTGTTACCGTATAAATCGTTCGCAATGCCGTATGCCTTGCTATCACTCTATTAAATGCCTTTTTGAATTGATGGATTTTTAAACTTTTAATACTAAATTTTAGAGTTTCAATGAAATTTAGTTTCCGTTCAGGGTCTAAATGCTGAAGAAAAATTAATCGTTTTTGCGCTGCACTCAATGGTATTTCAGTATGTTCTCCGCTTCTGATAATCTTTGTCAATTTTTCCGTAAGAAATTGGAAATTTATCATCTTCATGTTTTCAGAAACATTATTTCCTTGGATCGAATTCTCCAGAATATATTCACTTAGAGCATCAATAGTAGGATATCGATAAGCGCTTCCATAGGGTATCAAAAATTTTCCATTAAATTCGCTTTTCAAAATAAACTCCAGTTTTGCTAATTTCAGAGAATCAAATCCAAGTGATATAAATGATACTTGATCGTCGTAACATGGCGCTTCAACTATTGTCTCTACTACTCTACGGATTTTATTGATAATCGATAGTCTATCTTTCACATCCGTAACAAATTCTGAAACATTAATCATTGCTTGGTCATGAATATAAAAAGGATTCGTGATATCAGTTTCTAGCGCACTTTGAATTGTTCGGTTTATTCTTTTCGCTTCATATGGATAAGACTGATTAAGTTTGCGTTCGTCCTTTTCCAAGTTTCTTTTGATCTTTTCGTAAGCTTTGTGTTCTGCTGGTTCTTCCAGAGCATTTCTAACACTTCCCGAAAATCTACTGTTGAAACGGATTCCTCTAACATAACCACATTCAAATCTATCGAAATCATAGAGTTTAATGCTTATTTTGATAAATTTATATTCCGTAATTGCAATCCATAACCGTCTAAAAATAGCTACCGGTAGCGCAATTTGCTCGATTTCTTCTACCAGTATTTGCAAAGCAATGCCAAAATGCGCTTGTAATGAATATTCTAAAAAAGCCAGGGTATCACCATCCGAAACAAAACATTCATTATCATTGATAAAATTAAAGCAAAGTACTGTTTCGAATTGTTCATCTTTAGCAAATTCATCATTTTTTCTTTTCCATATTGAGACGTTTTGCAAAATCTTTGAAGATAATGTATGCAAATTATCAACTTTTAACATATGAACTAAAATTTCGTCCAAATTCCAGCACAATTTTGTTTGCCAATAACGTATTTCCCCAATATATCCTTGAATTGTTTTATTTCCAGATGAAACTTCAGTAAGTTCTAAATTATTTAGTCCAGCAGCTGATTCCGGCAATGATTTCCGATTCACTTTCAGATCCATTCGTTGACTACCAATTTTAACAGAATCAAGCACAAGTAACAACGAATTATCTCCAAATCTTCTTCGGCTTTCAGTGATTAGTGGCAGCAAAATTTCCTTCAATTCCATCTTCGAATTCTGTAAAATAATTCATATTCCAAGGAAAAAAAATTAATTTTACGCCCCGTGGCTTACTTTATAAATTAAATTGAAATGAATATAAAGAGAAATTAATCAGTAAAGTAAGGTATTCATTATATAATCGATAGAATAATTAACAAAATTTATCATCAAATTTTATCTAAAAATAATTACCAATTTTACTTTCCACTATCACAGTTTTGCTTTTGAAAAAATAAGCATTTTCCTTTTTCAGTTGCACAATAACGCATTAATGGTAACTAATTTCTTGAATGAATATTATCCCGCAGATGGATCGAAAATTTTCGAACTAAAATGCTCAACATTGATGCATTAGAATTTCTAGAAGTTTTATGATAAGATTATCGAATTTAATAAAATAAATCATCAACGAAATAACTGATGGGAAATGATAGTTGAACAGCGATTATTGAGAAGAATGAAATTGCACTACAAATTGATATTTTAAACAGAGAGATTAGTATAATTATATTCAACGATGATAGCTAATTTTATAAGAATTATCTTAGTTGCTCCTTTTTTTCTTTAAATTTCCTCAACGGTTGTCAGCAAGAGACATTGATTGCTTAAAGTATTCAAATCAAATTTTTATTTCCTTGCTATGAAGTATAAACAAAATTCTAAAATATTTTGTTCTTCAATATTTCATAATTTGATCAATGCTAATTGAATTGTGCAAAAATTTCAGGCAGTCATTTTAAAAAATTTCAAGCTTCTTTAATTATCAGAAATTTTTTTATCAGAATTTTTATCAGAAAATTTTTATCAGTTTATCGGAAAATTTAATGTATATGACACGTTTCTTAATAGTAATATAGCAATTTGTTTAAAAGATGTCTTCTATTATTGAAGTGATAAAAAATTGATTAAATTATCGGATATTAAAATATCAAAAAATTACAACTGTCTAAATTACATTAACTTTTTATCTGCAATAGAAAAGTTTCGTGAGCTTCAATATTTTGATATCCGATAATTTAATCAATTTTTTATCACTTCAATAATAGATACTTCTAAACAAATTGTTCTTACTATCAAGCATATATGTCATACATATGATTAATGTAATTTAGATAATTTAGCTACTCAACGTTTTTGTGGTGGTGAAAAGAGAGGTAGCGAATTATTTAAATGTTATGAACTTTTCCATCATTACACATTCCTTTTTATTGCTTTGTCAAAATGATATACACGGAAACGGGAATGTATATCATTTAAATTAAATTGAAATTATTCCACAACTACAATTTTTGAAAAGGAAATATTGCTGAAGGAATTTTCCGATATCGCATATGGAAATCAATTTTTTTCTAATATCAGCATTTTCAATTCAAATTTAATATAAAATTCAAGCTTAATATAAACCATAATTCACAGTAATTTGTACTCATTGACTTTCTTAACATATTATAGAGAATTTTTAACACTCCTATTATTTATTTCCTTTTTTATTTGTTTTTTGTTGACAGTCGAAACACAAAACTGAACCTGAAATGTGAATTTTAATTGAAAAAAAATCCATAAAATTTCTGTGATTTCAGAATGCTGTTGATCCCTGAGCACAAATTTGCTTTTAAATTTGAGGCACAAATTACCTCTACGTGTAGCCATTACGGTATGAACTTGTTAGTATCATATATGGATAATTAATAGAAACTTAAATTTAAACTATAAATCACAAATAAGCAAAAAGACCGCTTTATTTTACCATCACAAGCTTCTCCGAAGTTTCAAATGGCAGCTACTGCACCAAAACGAGAAACTTGATTACCTCTCAGATTTTTTACACAATTTTGATTAATTTTAAGTCTCGAAATGCTTCTGTGAAACATATTGTTGCAAGTTCAGAAATGATAAAAGTTTTATTTTTGCATATTTCATTAAAATTCTGTTCTATTGAAAGATCGAACAACTTGATTTGATTCAATAAAGAAATGTATGACAGTTTGAATCATTGATTCACTATTTAGTGCAACTTCCTCAAATGTTGCAATTGTGTAATTCATAGCAAGGATAGCATATGACGGATTCATTAAATTCGATGGTAAAATTATATCACCCACTTTGTATGTTATTGATTCCGCTCCTGAATTGTCGAAACTTCCAATAATCAACGAACAATTCAGTATTGATAAATCACTCTGAAAGATTTGTTGTTACTTATGAATTCTAATTATCTCTAAACACTTCTCTCAATATTTTGAATATACTTTGCGATAACTAATAAGTTGAATATTTTTTGTGTTGAATACAAACGAATCAAATAAACGCAACCGTAATATTTGAGAGCATCATTGCAACATAAATAGAAGAAACTTCCACACGAAGTTTTATCTAGTCTATTCGATGCAGAAAATTTGGTACGACAATACTACTACTGTAAAATACTATTGTTTTATTCACGCAAATTTTATTTGCAAAATTTCTCTTTCTAATCCAATTTCCTCATTTTTGCACTGATCAAATCATACTTAAATGTTAGCTAACTGGAAACAATTTTAACTCATTAAAATTATTTCATTCACATAGAATTGATATAAAATTCTGTACTTAATAACTGGGAAATAATTTTAGCTCATTAAAATTTATTTGCATAGGATTTATGTAAAATTATTTATCCAGTCAACTATATATATATATAACTTATCTGCTAATTATCTATTACTAGAAAATATTTTTCATTATTTTTAAACATATACTAAGAATTCCTCATTACTTGTTTAAAAACAAAGTTCGAAATACAAGGAAATGTTAAAGTAGCTCGTTGCTTCCAACAAATAGTACCATCAGCGTATAAACGAAGTGATTCTGCTCCATAAGTCGTAATAGATTCAAAGAAGTTTGTGTCAGGTTTCCAAATTTTAATACCCTTTGGAATCTGCAGAAAGAAAGCAATTTTATGGAAGAGAGTGTGACAGTTTCAAAAGTTTCATGCAAGGTAAAAACAAAAAAATTTCTAACAACTATGTTCTAAAAGAATGAATCAATGTAAAATCAAAAAAGAAAACACTTACAGTAATAGATTTAAAGCCAGCATATTTGAGACGTGAATCTCGCCATTTTTGAAAAATTTCGCACGATAAAGAAATTGTATCGGAATGAAGAATTACATGGCGTATTGCAAAACTTACTGTCACCTAAAACAATAATAATTGGTTGAAATCATTTGGAACACTTTTGAATTTTATCAATCAATCTAAGTGCATATAATAGATTGAAATGTCTATCTGGAGCATATTTTATTTATAAATAATACTTGATGTAGAATGCAACAAAAATTTATCCTCCAAAAATTCAAATGAATGATGTTTTTAGTCTTAACAACTGATGCCTATCATTAATCTAAAAGACTCATCGCTAATCTAAACCACTTCTAATCCTATATGACAGTTGTTAATATGGCAAACAAATAATGTCAGTATACCTCCATGAAAGGATTATCAGCATGATCATAATTATATCTTAACAGTAATTCTGAGAATTCCACTTCATTTTTAACTCGATTGATAATGAATGGAGTATCATTACATGAACAACCATTTAGTAATAATAACAATAATGATAACATCTAAACGATTGTTTTTTTAATTAAACACCGATATTTGAATGCAAAACTTTCTTTTTCAATTTTATTTTGAAAACTTTGTTTGAACGAAAAAAGCACAAATACTTGCAATTTTTGAAATTCCTAAAATTTTTATGAGTTTTAATTTTTGAAATTCTGTTTAGTACTAAAATCTGTTTGATATTTCTTATTTTTCCTTACTCCTTCATAATTCTCATTTTTGGATAAATAAATCAAATTGATGCATAATAAACAAAGGAATTTAATTGTAAGAGTTATTTGCCCCTAAATTAATTACATCAAAAACAATACTATGCACTAGTAAACAATTGTTTTAATCTCCGAGAATTCAAAATATAATTTTGAAACTTTTTTTCAAATGCGGAATCTTGAAAGAAATTCAAAAAAAGTAAAAAATCAGGCGCAAAGGACTGAACATTCAACTCTAAAAGTACAATTTAATATTGTCAATTTAGTTATGAAATTTGGGAAAATTTACAATAGATTGAAAAGAGGAAAATAATTGCTTCAAAAGAAATGTTTATACTTCTTCTAAGCTTTTGAATTCATTTTCCTCTCATATTCTGCCGGAAGAAAGAGCTAAAAAGCGTTGCTTACAGATCTGCAATGGATACAATGATCGAAATGCATTCCTTTATCTTATAATTTCCGTTATATCTATAGTGAGGATGGGAAATACCGGACAAGAAAACTATCACTAAAAATCAGTCCAAATTATTTCATCTACTTTTGAATAAATGAACATTACCATAAAATTCATCCTAGTAATTTTTCCTGAAAGTTCTTAAAAAGAGAAATTTCTTAGACTTAAAAAGCAGATTGGAATCAACTGAAGGCGATGAAATGAATAAAGCAATTTCGGATTATATGATTGATTCATTTCTGATCGATCATAGATATTGATTCATTTCTGATCGATCATAGATAACTCTTCTGATCAATCTCACATTAGAGCAAGAAAATAAGTCAATAAAAGAGAAGAAATAAACAGAAGCCAAGCAAAGCAATAAGTCAATCTTTATTTTTGAACATTGAGAATGGTTATCGCACATAAATTTGCTCTGGCCAATAATATTATATTCGCTTTATGGCGTAGGCCTGTAGCTTGAGATATTTGCTTCTAACTGGAATCAATATAGTGCCAAATTAATTTATCATTGCGATAACTGAAAAAAAATTGGCATGATAATAAAAGGTACTGAATATCCATGACTTACTTACTATGAATGGATAGCATTTTCCACCCTCTCTTTCATTCCCATTTCGTTCAACTATATTAACTCATAAGGCAAAAGAATTTATATGCTCAAGAATGAGGCGACTGACTGATTTTTCCATTCGGAAATACGTCTAATATATCACCTGAATTGGCTTTAAATTCCTTTAGCACTTCATACTCTACTCTTTTACCAAACTCTTTTCGGTCAATTTCTAATGAGAATGAAATTCAAAGGCTTGCAATTTGAAATATTTTTTCTTTTATTCAAAATTTGAAAATGTACTTTTTAAGAGTATAAGTTAAAGAGTGAAACTCTCTTTAGAAGAAGGAAATTATTACTTTGAAAGTTGTCAATAAGAATTTTTTAAAGAATGGAAGTCCTTTTTTAACGAAAAAGGGAAAAAGCTATTTGGACGTTTTTTGCGAAAAATGAGATTTGAAAAATGAGATTTTTTTTTAGAAAGGAGAGAAAGAGATATGTAATGATGGAAGTTTTGGGAAGATAAATAAGATAGGCAAAAGATTCTAATGCTTCTTTTAAATTCTGAACTTATCTTTATTATTCCCAAAGGATTAGTTAACGAGTCATCCCATCCATTAAGAAATCCTTGAAAAATAAGCGATACTATTTTTTTCATAACTTTCTTTTTTGATGAAATTCAATTTAATTCAGTATAAGTGTAAGATAGAGACCAATAAATTGAAGTCAGAAATCAATTTATACCTATTAATAGGAATGAATTTTCATTCAAAAGAATCGTTCTCATTCAATTACAGAATTTGTAAATTTTATTTAAGATATTGGTGAAATATTAAATTTTTCAATGTTAAAATTATTTTTAAAAATTTAATAATGCTTCAATGTAAAAATGAAAATGTAAAATAAAATGTGAAAACATTTAAAACTGGACTGTTATCTTCTAATTTCAAATGTGAAATGTGTTAACTTTCATGATCCTTTTAAAATTTGGTTGATACAGTTTATAGTATTACAAGAATGAAATAACTGCCACAATGGTGAATAAAATTTTCAAGAATTTTGAGATATATGAAATGTTTGAATCACTGAAATATTTCATCATTGTTAAAATTAAAAATCAGTATAAGATTCATAATCGATCCATGTAGAAGTGGCGATTATAAATTAAAATATTGAACGAATCTTTACTAATGCTGATGAAAATCAAAATCAAATTTTCAACTATCAACTAGCAAATTCAGAAAATAACTCTTCTTTTGTTTTAATCATTTAATGATAATGATATGACTCATTGAAGTTCAAATTTATTTTTTGGAAGTGAGCTCAGAAGTTTTTCTCTTTATATGTCTCTTCGTTTGATTAATCAGAAGGCATATTCAAACATCAAGCCTGTTACTCTGGACAATGAATGACCAACAGTATATTACATTTTATTTTTCTTGTTTAAATGTGTACTATAGCATATAAATGGAGAAGGAGCAAATGGATATGAAATGATTCCCTGATGGACTTGAGGACATATTTCTTTGCAAGTGTTCGTTTAAATTTCATTTTCCAATTATTTCAAATTCAATTTTGAGAGAGTTCATATGCATTGGATCACAAGTGAAAATTTCTTCACTAATAATTTCAAAATTGACCATATATTTGCATAACTTCTTAACTCATCGCTAAGGTTTCAAGTTCACCATACAGCTCAATTTTAAATGTGAGCTTTCTAGAAAATGTGTAACAGTTAGTTCAGAGATCATCAATTTTTAAATTAATTTCAAGACACAAAGAATTATCGAGTGAAATTGAATCGTTGCCAATAATACTGTTGAAAATATCATCTTTTCTCTACAGTATTAGAATTCCATGAATGTTTCATGCTTTCCGCAGTAAATTTTTTGAATCCTAAAGTCAGTGTTTTATTTAAATGGTAATTGCTTTTCATAATTTCTATGAGTACTATCAACGAAAGTTTTAAGGTGATCATTATCAAAAAAATTTTATCTTTCACTGTTTAAAAGTGATTCGATACATTCAAACTATGAATATTTATAAATATTTTACACTAATACTATTAATATTTCCCTGATCCAAATTTCCAAGTGATACTGCCGGGAATTCCAACTTTGTTTGTTTAATGCTATTTGGCAATCTTAAACTTTTTCAACAGCTATATCCATCCGATTAAGAACTGATCATATAAAGAATGATAAATGTTGAAAGAAAATGTGTTATTAAAAATCGTTTGCTAATATCAAAAAATGATAAGTGAAATGATACTTAAAGCAATTCTCATGCGATTTTGCAACTTTTGATGAAAAATTGTTACGGTAAGAGAAAAGGATCAAACATCAACAAAATGTCATCGAAATCATTTAATTTTCCAAATTTCGGTAGATTTTTATGAAAAAATTTTTCAATATTTCAATTAAAAAAGTATGGAAAGTAATAATTTCATTTTATTTGCTAATTTAATGCTTAATTATGTAATAAAAGATTTTTTTTGATCAAATTTGCAACAAACTTTTGTATTAATTGGAAAGTTTGACTGAATGCTACAAAATATTTTTGGAATGATATAATAAACATTAATTTGATTTGAGTGAATGAATAAATAATTGAATGATTGATTAATTAGGGCGCTATAACATCTAAAAGTGACATTGATGTATTTTTAACAATTTTTGAATGAAATATAATTAAGTTTAGCCAAGGCAATACATATATGCATATGTAATATTATTAAAGAGAGAGGAAGCAGAAAAAGAGAGCCAGTTTCTTCAATATACCGAGAATAGGTTCACTTTTAATAAGCTCTCTCAAAATTAATATCTTGAGGAAAAAGTTTAATATGCGCTAAAGGCTACTACTTACGCTACAAATTATTCAAATTAAAATATTATACATACAATAATGCAATTTCAGTGTTAATGCTATAAACTAGAAATGAGCCTATACATTTTTTCATGTCCTAAATTATCGACCAAATGCTCTTCTAAAAAGTATTGTGCTTCGAAACACACATACTATTTCAGAACATTAATAACTATAATATGGGAAGTAGCCATCGTTTAAAAAAAAATCTAAGTGCCATATAAGCATATTTCAATAATAATATTTTCACAGTATTTAAAAAGTCAGAATAACAATAAAGGAATGATTCCTAAAATATGACCAAACGGTCAACAATTCGGATGACATCAAAGTTAGAGGTTATGGGAATATTCAAGAGATTGATTAATAAATTATTGCGATATAATTGAAATAATGCAAAATCAATCTATCAATCATAATAAAACAATAAAAGAAATTTTTTTGCTGATATATACAAAATGTTGCATTGCATTATTTCACAATAATATACGAGCTGACGATACCGGTGCTCGGCGTTCTTGTCGTAGTTCACTCGGAAACTAAAAATTATTTCCTCCGAAATATTTGGCTCTTCATTTTCAAAATATCTGTTAATTTTATGAGCTATGCAAATGAATAAATAAAACAAACTCACCAGGAGATTGCCCTCTTTCAGTGCAGTACGTCTCTCTGAAGTGGATCGATTAAATATCCACGACACAGAGGGATAGATTGCCATCTGGAAGTCATTGAATTAGTCGTCAAAGTATATCACTTATTTAGTGCCTAATTAATAATTTTTTAGAACCATATGGATTCGTCAATTTACCGATTGGCTTGACTTAAACCTCAAATGAAGCCTTGGCTTAAACTTCAAATGATATATAAGCACTGTTTGTTTCTATGTGAGATATTTTATGTAAATTTAAACTATAAGCGAATTATCTAAATAAATACATCTTGAAGCTTTTGAAAATTTTCACGCAAATCATAAATTCATTAATGGGTTGAACTGATGAGGAATATCAATTCCAATACTGAAAAGAGAGAGAGAGAGAGAAAGGGAGAAATTACCTCCTCAAAACTTCAAACACCTAAAATATACCTATAATTTTAAAAATACTGAATTTCTAATTACTTGCGGCGTTTTCGAACATACTGTGCCATTGCTACTAGCATAATCAAATTGAGAACCGTTTGACAGAAATTTATTCTATAAATTGATAAAAATAAAGATAAAATGATATATTGAATATTAGATTTCTTTGCTATATTCTTCAAATCATTTAAGTTTATAGAAAAATTATTACTATCTCAGCAGTAGAAGCTCATGAACATTTAATAGTGATATATTAATTTAAGAAACAACTAATGACTTAATTTACTTCCTCATATATATTTTAATTATTTGAATAATTTACGCTAGGAGGTAGGATAATCGGTTCATCAAGCATGCTTCGAGATTCTTCCAATTTTTTTAGCGCTTTCTGGATATCTTCATCATCGTAAATCTTCACTGCAGTAATCAAATCAAAATCTTTCTTTTCATCACAATTATTCAAATCATCCGCTGATTCCGATGTTGTAGTAACATTCTTATTCCTGAAATCTTTAAATTGAAAATTAGATTTCACTTTGATTTAAAATTTGAAATAATTAAAATCTGTTTTCTCATCATTCAGTTAAAAAAAATTCCATAAAGTTGGCTTTACTAATTGTTCAAAAAAGTAATATGAATAAAGGAAAAAAATTGAACTCAGAATAATGATGAAAAATTTGATGGTCATTTGTTGACGCTTTAACCGGAACATATATCGGATCCAGCATTTTAATTCGGGAAGCCTGTAAAACTAAACCACTTCTCAGTGGATTTTAATCACTTATCCTTCTGTATGTCTATCATTTATTCTAGTTCGTTTTAATTTAAAATGAAATATTTATACTTCGCATATTATATTGCCTTCGATCGGAAGGTGACCGTAACTTCGAAACATTTACACATTAAGAACTAACACTATTAGTTCTGCATTGTATAGTACAAAAATATATCAGAATAAATGAGCACGTTGCAAACTTTATGATAAGTAGTGCTATGATATTGCAAGTAAAATTTCAGAAGTTAATTTTAATTGACAACATTGTTTTAATTCAGAATTCTATCATTCAGCTTATTCATGAATAATAGCAAGTGCAAGAAAAACAAAAAGTCCAACTTTAAAAATTCATTTTCCTCAATTTCTAAATATTAGTTTTTTTCTGATTCTTTTGTCAACGAAAATGTTTCTAAATTGATCGAAAAGAAGAACGACAGTCTTTGCTTGGAAATAAATTATTGTGTATATCCTGTTATTTCAACCACAATTCAGTATTATTCTGTTAAGCATTCCTTTAAGTTAAGCATTATATCGTCATTTCTTTTCATCGATTCAATCATTTAATAATATTTGAAACTTAAGGCTTTCAAGAGAGAAATCTATGAATGTGGGAAATGGGAAGCAAAGCTAAATTGCTGATATGCTTTAAAATACTTTTTCACAAAATTCAATAATATCAAATTAATAATATTCCCAGCGGTTTTTATTAATTAATATTATCATAAAAAAAAACTAAAGAAATAGCCAAATAATAGTAAAAATTTATTGGAATATTGAATAGAATTGAATGTAAAAATGAATCTTCAAAAATGACGAAAAAATTCATCAAAAGAATTACAGTGAGTAATTCGCCCGGCTCATCACCACTGGCAAATACCATAACTGCATGGGCATATCGCGGTCGTTCAATGATTAATTCCGTGGACTCTTCACTTAACTGATCCATCATCGTATCCAGACGTGCTTCGAATGCATGTAATTCCATATCAGCCATATTGCTAAAATACATATCGTTGCAACGTTAAGAAAACAATAAAAATAGATATAGATTTTTTAATTAATTTACTTCAATTAAAAAAATCATTTTAAAGAAATATAGCAAACTTAGAAGAATTTGATGTCCAATTTTCATAAGTTGTAAGTGAAGAATAAAGTTAAATTGATATATCTGACTGGAAAATGACAGATTGAAAATTATTTTAGGAAGAAAATTGACGGGTATTAATGAAAATGAAGAATGCAAACAACTGGTTTAGACGTCATAAATTATTATTATTCTTTATATAATTTAAATTGAATCGATACATATTAGTTCCATCATATCCTAATGCTTCTTTTTACTACAATAATCAAGTAACTAAAAAGATTCTACACTTTCAAATTCGCTCGATACAATATCATATCACTTTACAGCAAATTCAAATAGTAAATCTGTTTATTTTAAAATAACAAAAAAAGGGATCAGTCGCAATTTATATTTTTAACGCTTGTTTCTCTGATCACAAAAGAATTTAAGAAAGAATTCACATTCAGAAAATATTAAACGATGGCAAAAAATTTTGAGCTGAAAAAATTGTCATTCCTTTCGAATAATATTCATCATTAGCTCAATTTCTGTGCAATTATATTTTTTATTACAACAAAGACTTTCCATTTTATAACTTCTCGAAGAGTTTGCTTTTCAGTAAAGTATGCAAATATTTGCATACAGATAAATTATAAATTCATTTCAACGCTTGTCTTTTTTCAATAATCTTTGTACTCTGTTATAAATTTGCAAATTTCAGTAAAATTACGAGTTGCACTTGGGTTGTCCAATGAATAATAACTTAATAAATTCAGGCATTTTGTAAATATCAAGACTTATGCAATGAAAATAAGTAGAAAGTAGAGATGATGACAGCAACATTCATTTCGTATCTTCTGATACTGCTAAAAATAGAAAGAATGGTAAATGATATCGCGTCTCATTCACCATTAAATTTGAATTTTATAAAACTAAAAAAATGTCAAGAATTTTAGCTCATTCGTGTTAATCAATAAAATATGCGATAATCACAAAAAGGAATGACAGTGAAGAAAATATTAAGACAACCAAATTGTAGCTAAACTATATTGAAATCTTTGTCAGATATGTCCAATGTAAGCAAATTAAGAAGGAGAAGAATCTAAGCGAGAAATATAAAACTATAATAAGAAAAATAAGGTGATATAAAATACATCAGGATTTGTTAATAAAAGAAATAAGGGACCTGCGAATACCAATGCTATCAAATAAAGAATAAATTAATAAAAATAATCTAACAGGAGATTAATATAATAAAACAAAAAAATACCAGGCTTCAATATCGGAGATTCAATACTTGTGGAAAAAACTTTACCATTGCTTACAGCTATCGGTGTAACAGTGAAAAAGATGAAACTGAAAAACAACTATTCAATCAAAAAATGGAGAAAAAAAGTGGTAAAGATTTTTAAGAATCCTTCGATCTAATGATTATTGTTTCGGATTGAAATTTGAATACAATTTGATTAATGATAATATTGATAATTTGTGGGTAATGATTTTAATAAAGCGAGTATTGGAATTTTAAGATTAGTTAGGTTTTTTATACGATGAACTTATTAGGATGAAGAATTATGCAAATATTCATAAGTGTAATAATTTATTTCACATAATAAAAAGCATTTCAGGAATGCTTTGACAGAAATATGTTGTAATTATTTTGACAAATATTCATCACTTCCTGCTATTAGGTCATATATCCTGAATCTTCTCATCATTGTCTGTCATCATTCCTATTCCTCTCCTTGCCTACATTTTTTAATCAAATTAATTTTGCATATATTAAAAGAGACAGAAGTGTTAGATAAAAACTGAAAAAAAGATATTTCGTTATCGGAATTCTCTACGATAAGATATATTTTTCTTGGGAATAAATATATTTATTATATTTTGATGAGATCAAAGTTGGCACCAATTCAACTTAAATAGAAGCTCAAAAAAATTCTAACATTTCTAAAATGTTACACTTTTTTGAAAGATATTTTAGGCGTAATAGTAATAAATTAAAATTCAATTAATCTTTATAATCATCTTATGGATTAATTCTAATTTTTCGTTTTACTTTATCAATCGTTCAATATGTTTTTCATTGAAAGTACCTAAGAGATTTTGTGAAGAAGAAAAACATTTGCTATTTTAAAAATTTCACAAAATTTTTGAATGAATGAGTCTTGAAATTATTCAAATCCATCTTCCCTCCATAAATAATTATAAACTTCTCCATGTTGAATTAATTTGTGCTAATAGTACTTCTGACAGATAATTAATTATACATTTCTCAGTTATTTTAAGGAGGAAAAAATTTTATTTCAACGTTGATATTTTTCGTTAAATTTCGAACTGATAATAGAAAATTAATCATATTTTCATGGCAATGATGAAAAACAACATTTGAAATAACATATGGCTCTTACTTGCCATAACTACTATTTAAGCACATTTATTATCTATCCCATGAAAGTTCAGTTTATTTTATATTTGTAAGCAAACTTGCATTATTCAACTTCGTTACTTAATGACAATTATAAGCTTTCCTTACTTATATATTCAATAATTCAATGTTATCAAGAAAGATAAAAAAGAGCCACTCTCAAAAACACTGCTCAGTAAGCGCCGGACGTTCAACAGAACTTAATAACAGTAAATTAAAGTGCGAATTATCGATAAGCAAATCAAAAATTAGATGAAATGAATTTGATAACGACTAATTGTATTATAATCTTCTTTCAGGGAATTAAATGACCTTTCCAACATAAAAGCCCGCATAAGGGTCATAATTCCAATTAATTATAACAATCAAGAAGTGACAGTGTAATAGAAGGTGTCAATGCTACGAAATATATACTCGAACTGAGAAACCTCAGTCTATTTGAATGAAATGATTAAATAATGTGCAAATGAAATAGGCATATATTATTCGATTAATCCACTTGTTGATTTCTCCTGATTGTCGAAGTATTTTCGATGAAATTAAAATTAAGAAAAGAATTTGTTTGAGAGAATTTTAAGATAAAAAAAAGAGTTACGACAAGTTAAATATGAAAATCAACAAAAAAGAAATATATTATAAAATATATTTTGCTAAAATTTTTTTCATTGTTTATAAAATGATCAAATAATTACATTAAATTATTGAATGGCAAATTAATGCGTTTTAAGTCTGAGATTTCTCATTGGCATCGTAATAGAATAATTATATATTAAAATATTTTATGCAATAAAATAGTAAAAGCGAAAACAAAAAAATTTGACAAAACATACTTTATGTCGGCTTCTTTAAATATTTGAAATAATGTGACATATACCATATCCACTTTTCAAGAAACTGCAACAGTAACTTCACTTAATGCTTATTTTTACAACTTAAGTTTATACATACTGTAAAACACTAAATGAAATTTTTCAGTAAAAAAGGCATAACTGAAATTTATGATTGGATAAATGCGAATAAATGATGAAAACGAATAGGAAAAGTGCACGGTTTGCAAATAGCAAATATTCGATTCATTTAATTAGCCATCAATTAATGAATTTAATAAACTTAAAAAAGAAGAATAAGAGGTATAAAAGGCACTGATGAATCAATCAATTATATATACACTGCCGATGAAGAAAACAAATTTAACCTAATATTTCAGTAAAAAAAGTGAAGTGTAAAATGTTAACTACTGTGATAGTTGTGTCAAACAGAATGCTATCTGTGCTTTATCGCTTAACTTAAGATTTCTTCGAAAACGAAAATTTGGCGCAATCGGCATTAACACTTGTAAATGACACAACTTATAAATTAAAGATTAATGATTATTGTCTTTTATGCATATAACATTATTCATTAATGTATCCATGCATTCAGTTAGAAATGGATGTAAAAACGATAATTAATTTCCGGTTTTTTACCGTAATTTCAATCAACTCATATTGGAGATTATATTTATACTGCATCATTTAAATAGTGATATATTTGTGCTTTTATAATCAGATGTTAATTACAAAATTTCTTATGATCCACAATTTCAAAAGTTACAATCTTTTATTTTTTATCAAATGTCAATAGAGCGTCAAATGGTAAGCAAACGAAGTGATTTTGTGGAAAAAATTGATAAAATAGAATAAGATCAAAAATTTAAAATAAGTGCTTTCCAGAATCCTTTCATTAGAATTCATAGCTAAGATAGATTATGAAGAAAGAATGCCATCATTTGAAGTAATCAATTATGAAGAAAAAATTTCCGATAATTTAATTTTGCAAAATATCTATCTTTCATTCAGATCACATTCTTTCTATTCTTTGGAAACCGAAAAATTTATTCATACTTTCTAAAAAAAATGAAATATTCCTTTTCGATTGTTTTTTGGCTTAAAACGGTTGCACCGAATAATTTCTAATTTTGAGCAAAAGCAAAATTATTTCAAATCATTCAAGTAAAATTTAAAGTGAGTAAAATTGGATAACATATTTCAATGATATCAAATATTAGCATAGAAAGAAAGTTGAATAATGTGGAAGAGAATGATAAAGATGAGTTGGGTATTTAACGGAAAATAAAATTTTTGAGAAACGAAAAGGAAAGAGAGAAAAGAAAGAAAGAATCAACGAATCTTTTTAAATAAAATAAAGGCTAATTTAATACAGGAATTAGGCGAATCTATTTGTTGTGTTTTCTCGCTCTGAGCACTACTTATATCGCATGACGCATTTATCGCATACATCAATGCGCAATGACATAAAATTAGTTAGCATGGATGACAATAATTCGAACTAATATTAATGTAACACTGATTAATGCCACTTCGATACTTGGAAAATGTCCGTTGAATGCAAAAAAGGTACATTGCAGGAAAGTAAGAAGTGCAAAACAGGTGAATTATGTTGCCGGTAAACATTTTTTCAAAAGAAGGAAAAATGAAGGATACAATGAAATGATTGATTGTCAATTAAAATTTGATGAACACACATAAGATATACACAGACACAGACACAGACACACACACACACACATACACATACAATACATACCAAATATGCACACAAGAACTCTTTTTTATTTTACGACGATAATTCTGAATGACTTTCACTTTATTTCATTCAATGATCAGTATAACTGTTCCATAAAATTCACTTTGTCTAAGCCATTGTACAATTAATTAATGACAACCACCTTTTACTTACAATTTTGTATGATCGATTTGAAGACAGTTTCAGCCATTATTGTATTAATTAAAATATTAAAAATATATACAATGAATGATAATAATAATCCCAAATGATTACTATTTATGACTAAAGAAGTAATTTTCGGATTTTACTATAAAAATTCAGATACCACATATATATGTATGCAATAAAAGAAAGAGAAAAAAATTCTAACATAATTATTAAGAAACAAAGAGTGAGAGAATAATAGAGGAATTAAAAATTCATCAACCAATCTATTAATTCATAAAAGACTAAATTAATTTGCAAAACGATAAGTGCACATATTTCCATAGATGAGAAAAACAGGTCGAGAAGCGAGAGTGAAGAATATTGCTGATGATGTAAGAAATCTTCTCGAGAGGAATTCATTATGGTAAAGAATCGAAAGTAAGGCAGTGGGTAGAGAGGGCTACGACAGAAATGACACTGTAAATTGAATTTCTTCAAAATTCGTTCAATTAACGAACTGAACGAGTGGAACGAAGTATTATAATAACGATAAAATCCTCCACCCATTCAAATGTTCATTTGCTGTGTCCATATTGACAACAATTTCTTTGATATATTCTTTTCTCATTTTGCTTGAAATGATCGACAAGAAAAAAGTGTAAAGAAAAGAAATTCATCCCTTGCGGATATTTGATGGGAAATATGAAAAGTCGATAACAATAGCTAACTTTTCGAAAGATATTATTTGTTGAAGATATTGCAAAAGAAACTTTAGTCTGATTTATTTCAATTTACTTCGGCTTACTTTCATTCATTTCTCTTCCACTTTAATTGTCAAATGTGAACAAAATCAAATAAAATTATGCAAATAATGCTAAAAAAAATAGTCCAATTTTAGATCAAAAATATGATATAATTGTAAATAATAAAAAGAAGCAAAAGAATGGCGCAAATTGTCCTTAAGATGGTTGTGATAATGATGAATGGCCGATTATATTTTTATGATTACAACAGCTAAGAATGGCGATGATATGTCAACAGAAGGCCATTCACCGATGCCTTTGTTATTATTGTTGTTAAGAATAATGATGATATCATGATGGCAAGTAAAATGTAAGTGACATTAGATTGATTTTTATTTTGCATACAACAAATTTGAAAATTTGAAAAAAAAGTTGAATTTAGTACTCATTTGTTTCTAATTTAATTTGTGAAATTATGGGAATCTACTGGTATTCAATAAAGACAGGTAAATGAATTCAAACAAAATTACCTTTTTAGCATTTCTAAGTAGCAAAAAATTATATCAGAAAATTATTTCTTCGACATTTCTCACTGAAAAAGAGTACTCAAAGGACTGAACCACGGAAAAATATTTCTACAATACTCATTTTTGTCGGAATTTAAAGTAAAATTCGAGAAAGAAACAAGCAATGTTTTATAAGACGAGAAGATAATAATCGAAGTGATAACAATGATTATTTTATAACAATTTTTAAAACATAACATTTGCTGAAGGATATCGATTAAGAATTGAAACAGCATAAGTAAGGCCGATATTATTATTGTTCATCTTTGAATTAACACTTAGTATATGGGAACTTGAAAATCGTTTTGAAATTATTATGCATGAAAAAACATTTGTATCAATCACATCGGATGAAATGCTGCTGAAATATCCGTTTCTGATACTAATATTTAAGTTTAATATTCAAATTGTAAATTTACCAGAGGTCAAAGATAAGGATGAAGTTTGAATTTATTGGAAGTGATAATAATTGACATGCAATAAAGGTTTAATTTTCTGTAAAATACAAAAGCGATTAATTGAAAAAGAGAAAGATAAGGAAGGAAGAATGCAAGCACATTCCACAATTAAATTAATGCATTAAAGTAGTAAACCAGAGATGTTTCAACGAAAGAAAAACAAGACACCACAAAGAGATATACTGTTCATTTTGATTACAAAGAAGGAGTGAGTGATAAGACTGATAAGAGTTGTACTGTTCTTTTTTAAATTAAATTAACAATTCAGATCAACAGTCTAAATTACAATTCACAATGGACATAGTGAATTTAGGGAATAAAAATAGATAGTAAGTAAAGAAATGAAAATGCAAGTTTGAAAGACAGCCTAGGAAATGATAGGTAGAGAATAATAAATAGGTAAGGGATGAAAATGCAGTTTAGAAGACAGCTCAAGAAATGATAAGTAGTAAATAAAAGAATGATAAACGGGTTTAAAAGACATTATAAATAATATTTTATGAACTCTATTGATGCTACCAAGTATGTAAGAAACTTATCAAAATAAATCATTAGTTTGGTATAACTCTCATTCTTATTATTTGAATATTTCATTAAATTTTTAATATATTGATATTGCTTCTCTGATAATGCAAATGGAATATTCAAAATAGCTATAAAATAATCATAGATGAAAGTAGCCGTAGATCCAATCATCTTCGAAAGATCAATATTTGGATGTGACTGATAAATGATGCCAGCTATATAAACAATTTTTACTGATACATGCAAACAATACAATTTTTTTTGTACTAGTATATTTGATTATAATTTTCTGTATTGATATTCCAATCACTCATATAATTTTATCTGGAAAAAAGCTAAAATTTTAAAATAAATCAAATGGCTTTTTATGAAGGGACGCATTAAAAATCTCTGACATATTTAAGTATTTACATTCACGTTAAGAAAAACTTTTGCTGCGATCTGATCTAATTTCTGACTGCCAATTTAAAATTTCTGCATTTTTTGACGTAATTTAGAATATTTAAAAGTAAACTGGGAAACTCTCTGGGAAATTGCAAGATATCTTCAGCTTCTAATCTTACAATATGTTACTAAATTATTGGTGGATACAAAAATGGTCTTGTGTGTACTGATAAAAATGGTTAACTATAAATAATCATATCGGATAGTACAGATAAATCGTTAATACCAGGAAGATTTATCATTGATATCAATAGTGGCAAAAAAGATGGGCACGCTTTTTTTAAACACAAGTTTACTCCTATTAGTGACACGACTGCAGCCGAAAAAATTACTAACCGGCAATCAAAAATTTTTATTCAGCCTATCCGTTCTGTGACTATAGAAATGCAAGGAAATCGTTTCAGTCGTTACTACTTTCAAAATAGGCTGTCCATCAATTACTTCAATGACTTTCAACGATTTCCAATTTTTCCATTCTTAAATTCAATTGAAATGAATGCAACTTTCAGGATTCGGTTTTTCTATTGTGAAAAAATTAGGTAATAACAAAGGGAAACAACAGATATCACTGACCAAAACTTTAAAACTAATAATTGAATTTAAAATAACTGTGTCAACATATGCAAAAACAAAACTATCTCATTGAAGAAGCAGTAAATTAAATACAACATAAATACGAGAAACGCATAAGCTTAGCTTAAAGGCTTACTTAACACTAAATAAAGAACGACAACAGCCACAACTTCAAGTAAGACTTATTTAACCATCACAGCATATGCTTGTTACTGTTACTCCGATGTGCTATGAAAAAAACGCATTTTCTTCAAATGGAAGAATTCAACAACAAACTACAAATATCATTTGAAAATTTTGAAAAAATTTCAAAAAATTAGATTACTGAAGCACTTCGAGGCTAAAAAAGAGCTTAAGTCTTACGCCTAAAAATTTTTATTTTTGTCTCCTTTGTCAAACAGTTCAAGAAACACATTATTGAACTACTTGGAAACTGAAAAAATCAAACACTAAAGCTCTCAAAATTTAAATTTTTTCTTTTTTAAATCAATTTTGTCTTCTTCCTTTTCGAATACGTAGAGAAAACTAAATTTAAGCTCCACATAATTCATTAAAAATAACCTGAATCTAATGTTTCTTTTATAACTTTGTACTTCCTTAGTGTTTCATAAAACCAGTAAAATGCACAAATGCATTCAACACTTCAGAAATTTTCGGATAATACGAAGACTTCTACATACTTTTTCGATAAGTCAAAAAAGTGCTATAATTTGGATGAGTTCAGGAAAAAAATATTATTGAGCAGCTGCAAAAAGAATGTCTGTCTTCACAATTTTTTTTTAATGCTATATTGTGCAAAACATACGTAACAGTTTAAATGATAATGAGAAATGAACAAAAAATGAGGAAAGATTAGCTTTGAATAGGCTCTTCGCTCAATCCTTACTCAACTCAACACGATAAAAATCAACAATACTGGCTCCATGTCCAACAACATATTCGTGAACTGTCTGCGAAGGATTCAGCATAAATGCCTGTCTTAATAGCTGAGTTTCATTTTCATCGATATGTGTGATCTGGAATAACAAAAAGTCGAGAAAATTTCAAAATTTCAACACAGATACAAATGTAAAACACCGACAAATAACCATTTTTATAAAAATATGTGAATATCTTTCTTCGTGCACGATTTTTGTATTTCTTGCTCATTTTTTTGCAATTTTCCTATTACCATCAATTTCAATCATCAATACTAATTTAAGCTTTATATTTCAACAAGTAAATTGGAAAGATGAATCCAATAATTTATGAATATACATCTGCTATCCTAAGTTGTGTTAATAGAGCCAGAGCAATCGCCAAATTTAGTAAGAACTAATAAATGGTATTAAAAGCACGCTATCAAATTAACGATTTTTAAACCTGCTTATTTGGAACTCAATTAATTTCACTTTCCGTTCTTTTTCCCCAAATAAGCATTTACGACAGCTGAAAAGTCAGATCAAGCTGCAACGAACCTCTCCATCATAAAAGGCATTGCTTTCGTCTTCCTGAGGGATTTCCTCATTTATAGATGTTATTTTCTTTTCAGATAACGGTGTACCCAGTGTCAAAGTTCTAAAATAGACTACAAAATTTTATATAAAAATAATTTAGTGCTCACATAATTTAATCCCTAAAAGCATACTAATACGAAAAGTATACTAATAAGAATGAACCAGTAGAAAATTGAATCTGAACTGCACTAGAATTCAAATTTCAACCTTCAAATTCAAACGAATTCTCTGATTTTGTTCATATTCATATAAATTTCCTGTAGATATGACGACAGTGTAACCTCAATGCATGGTACTCGATAAAGTAATTTACCTCATTCCTACAATATGTTGACATAATTGATGTCCCAGCTTTTCTGTTGGAAAATTAGTTTTGCTCAACTTCTTCAGACCAACAACCGATATATATCTCCCCATACACACTGCTTCAGTACCTTCTTAACAAAAAATTGTTAGCTAATTGACTTGTCTTGCAAAATTTTACAAAAAAGACATGATTTCAAACAATAAATAAATTGAATATTATGTCAGAGCAAACCTTTGGGATGTGCGTAGCCAAAAAGTTGAATATCAGGTGGCGCCAATATTAGTTGTGCTCTTGAAAGACTTATATTTTCGCCAAGTTTGCCGATTGCTTCCGTAATCAAATCTTTCACAAGCTTGCCATTTTCCGATGTTTTGAGAGAATTAATATCTGAATTACTTTTTATAAGAAAATCAGCAGGATACTTACGAAGTTAGAAACATCGATAAAAACATGCATCTAAAATTCCAGCAAAGTATGGCGTAAGGCTTCAAATAATTTGAACAAGTATAAAGTAAATCAAGAAAACATAATGCCTATATGTTCGTAATTAAGAACTGTTACTCACTTGAATTCAATAGTTCAAAGCCATCACTAATCGTTCCATCTCGATCAGCAGCAAGCAAAACCGCTTTAACCACATCTTCAACCTAAAGTTGTTTTTTGAAAATAATTAAAATCTACAAAAATATCGATAATTCAGTAAACCTAAAATGCAATAACAGCAAGAATGATAATTCAAAAAGAAGTTCGCCATGGCAACCGCTCAATTTCCAACACTAATCCTCGAATTTCACAGAGTTTCTAATAGATTCTTTGAAATTAATTACATTTTTACGCATATATAAATTATCATAGATTCAAAACCTACCAATCGTTTAAAATCCTGACTTCTCGAAACGAAATCCGTCTCACAATTCAATTCAACAACAGCTGCCCTATTCCCCTTTGTTATCACCGACACAATACCTTGTCTTGTTGGCCTATCACTAAGTCTGGAAAACAATTTAAATTTAGGAAATTTCAAAATACAAAAAATATGCTTACTAAAAACACTAACAATTATAATAAAAAACACTAACAATTATTACTAACAATTACTTTGCAGCCTTCTCCCAGCCCTCTTCTACTGCCCTTTTTTTCAACCATATGATAGCCTCATTTAGATTATCTGTTCCAAATTTATTGAGTGCTTTGCGGCAATTTACATAGCTGTATCCAGTCTTCTTTCGTAATTCTTTTAATGCCTGAAAGGAACACAGGGTAAACAATCATCAGCAGACACTCAAAAAATGGATCGAGAAATCACTAGGAATTAACTCGATCATTACCCCAGGGATATATTTAGACTATTGACTTGCCCCTAGAAATACGCATTGATCTAAGTCTCCAATTGAGAAGCTTCTATTTCATAAAGAATAGCCAAACATAAGCGTTGATTGCTTGAAGCAGGAATATGACTCTTTGACAAGAATTCGATTGTCGCGAATTATAACAATTTTACTGAATTTAACTCATTTTGTTCGATTCGTTCGACAATTTTGAGTTCGGATCTAATATGATATGTATAGATTTTCATGAAATTAACATCTCAAGTAAATATGTGTTAGCCTGAATTTGGGCTTCTTCAAGTGCTAAAATATTACCTCTTTGGTAATATTCGGCGTAGATGCAACGACGGTATCCGAACACAAACGACTGAAACTTTCTTTGAGCACGATTGATCGAATTAATTGTCGTGATGCAATCATCAAATCCCTTTAAAATGGGAAATAAAACAAAACAACCAATTTTTCAGACTGCTAACTTATGCAACAACAAATTGCGCCACCACATAACTTACTAGCCACATCAGCACCCAAAATTTACGCGTGAAATGTGAGATTTTCGTTTTGCTTATTTCTTCAGTCATTCTGCATAATATGTGCTCAGTATCCAGCTGCTTCTTGAGAAGCGAGGAATATAAGGTGATTTGTCGATGAATGTCCTCCCCTTAGTCAGTTGCGGACATGAATGAATCTTATATATCCATGTAAGAGACAAGTAGCGGCTTACGCCCCACTTGTCAAACCAAACTTACTCTATTAGACGTGGATAAGTTCAACTCAATGTTCTAGGATTTTTTTATAAATTATAACATAAGTTTTATCACTAGATATTGTTCGCAGTCGACAATTACTTTAGAGCCAGGATCTAAGGAACTTCCTTCGGTACTTTTAAAATCTGAATTTGATCATATACAGTGATTTTATTTTTTAAAGACAATCATTATGATCTTAAAAGATGTGACTTTCCTTACATCCTGGCTCTAAAGTAATTGTCGACTGCGAACAATATCTAGTGATAAAACCTATGTTATAATTTATAAAAAAATCCTAGAACATTGATTTTTTAGGATTTTAGGAATATTAAAGAAGCAAACCTTGTGCCGTTTAAAAAAAATATGTATATCTCCTCGTTCTACATGAACGATGAATTCAATGTAAGATATTGCATGGTCTTCAGCCAAATATTTACATATTTTAGACAAATCGATCTGCCTCTATCCTGCTCTTCTGAGCAAAAATATTTCAAAAGTTGCAGTTTTGCAGTTTGCTGTTACAGTAATTCCCAATGTCTGAATCTTTGGATATATTTTAGAAGGAGCACAATAAGCCATTGAGAAAATAATTTTATTCTTTATTCACTAGACAATTTTTCCTTTCTTCCTTCTAAAGCTAAAATATGAACAACGCAGGTACAATGAAAAGATGAAATTTCAAGGAAAAAGTAGCAAACAATACAATAATAAAAATGAGATTCTTTATTGCATACATCAAAATACATGGTAAAGTTAAAACGGTTCATGACATAATAAATATACGACAAAATTCTGTCACATTTCATAATAAAATCACATTTTTTAAACAAAAGTTCGTTGTCTTTGGAAATCTAGCAGAAGTACCCTTTCTTCTCTAAATTTAAAGTTGTTTACCAATCGGTAAGTTCAACAATCTAAAATATAAAGTTAGCCACTAGCCAACAATAAATTTATTAAATCCGAAAGCAAATCCCAAGATGCAAAAGTCAGATGTCACCACTTGCAATCGCAATCTTAATACTCTAGCAGCTGAAAATTTTTATTTTTAAAAAAATAAATATCCAACAATATATTTATAGTCGGGGAATGCTCTTTCTTCTAAATAAATTATCCAGAAAGTTCATACAATAATCACTATCCAAATGTACAGGAAATTTAATAGACGAAAAAATTTTTAAATGGAAAAAGAAAAAAGTGAAAATGACATGAAGAATTCTAGTTTCAAATATCAGAGAAGTATTACAACTCTATAGGCGAGTTTTTGATATAATTATCTAATTAATTAAGGTGCTTTTCCCAGATAAGTAAATGGTCTTATAATTTGCAACTTGAATGCTGCTTTCTTTCTGCTCCTCGCATCCCTTAAATTCCGGGATGTGGTGGATTCAAGACCAATCTTCTTAAATTATCTGACTCCACACTGTGTACTTAGTAATCTCTGACCAAAATCAAAGGTACCCGCCAAAATTTTTTCGTCTTGCATCAATCACAAAATCATTTTTACACTTATCGAAAAGTTATTGTTTTTACTTAAAATAATACCACAGTAATTGTAAAATGCACTTTGAGCAAAAACAGATGAAACCTATGCTGTTACAATCTAATTAGACCTAATCAGAAATTAATGGAATGTTTAGAGAAATTTGTGACTAAATAATGAATAGCATCAACCGCTTTCATCTTTATGAGCAGACAAACTTCTCGAATAATATAATTTCCAAGACAGAAATTTCGTATTTTCTCCCTGAACCGAAAGGAAGCTCTCCCCTTTTAAGGTGAAAAAAAAGTGCCTCTACAGTAAATGCACTCTCCGCTGTTGTTATGAAATAGCATTTGCCATATCAAGAAAGGGAAGACATTGCAAATTTAGGCCAAGCTATTTTTGCTTCATGTCGTTTATAAGCAAACAGATGTGCCTTATGTGCCTCCTTCAACTGATGGCGAATTAAATCAGGGCATTCGTTTGCCAGAAGACATGTTTCGTAACCATCAACTAGAAGATACCTGCAATAAAACATCTTACACGAAAAAAATAACTGAAAAGTTGGGATTAAGTATTGCAGCGCCTCAATCACCTCAATCATAAGTTCTACAGATGTAAACCCGCTGAAATGTATATTTAACATATAGATAGACCACACAAGAAAAGATTTCCTTAGTGATCGTTAACTTTAATTTTAAATTAAACTGCTCAAAGGCAGTAAGAAGGGCTTGTTATGTATAATCAAAGGAAATAAGAAGAACATACAATCCATGATCTTCAGGATTTGTAATGCCAAACTGATGTGCAATAACGCGACACAGTTTTCCAGCAGTCATTTGAGGAACACCAGGAAATGTATGATATCGGATAGAACCATCCAGTTCATCGGGTACGGCTACCTTCACAAAAGCATCTGATGACGATGAAAGTACTGGACTAACACTGCCTAATGAAGAACAGTACGATCCATCTTCCTACAGACAAAGAAAAACAATCATTTCTGGAATATTAATCCTCTTGAAGTTTTGGAACATTGAAATTTGAACAAAGATAAATTAAGGCACCGTTATTGAAGAGTCATCCACCTGGCCCAACTTTCGAATGCTTTCGGTATTTTTCAGTACATCAATGGCGGAAAAAAGAGTAATGAGGTAATAACTGGAATCACCAGTTGTCAGCAACTGTTTTGGGAGCAGCTCCCACATGTACCATGCTTCAACTTCACATCCGACCGTTGACGTACGTGCTAGTAAGTATACTAACCATCGCACCAATTCTAAATTTAATTCGGTCTACATTTTAATTAATTCTTAATCGAAGCTTCTAATCTTATTTAATGATCGGAAACAATATCACTTCAAAAGTCAAGATTTCATAAATAATCGTAGGTTGACGGGTCATTTAATGAAAATCATGAAATATTCATACCAATAAATGTAGAAAGGCTTTCGTAATGAAGTACTGTATATTTGCATCTCATTGCATACTTACTATTGTAATCACTGCATATTATCTATTGTACTCATTCTTAAAGGGGAATGCTAGCCTACAAATATATGTAAACATTTTTATTAATACTAACCATCAGCAGGAGGCAAAGCTTTAATCTTGTTTTCAATGCTAATCGGATCGTAATTTTCCATATCACTGTTCGGATGATTATCGCAGGAGTGCTGCTTACCTATTGCCAAAAATATCACTCGCAGCAAATTCTCGAGTTTTTTCAGCGGTGAATAGTGGTGCTGCATTTTTCGTAAACAAATCTTAATTATCTCCATTTTCTGCGTCGTAGGTGGCGTGAACTAAAACCATTACAGTTACAACAATGCAAATTCTTCAAATTCCAGTTGGTCAAAAAAAGTTTATCAGAATAATCAGAAAATCTGGATTACTTTTTCTTATATAGTCTGCCCTAATAATATCACTTAACATCACTGATGAATATATATATTATTTATATAAATTCTCGGCAAAAAGAACGCACTTTACAGCGGATTCCAAAGCCTAACTGCTCTGGCGACAAGGTACGGACATAGGTAAGATTTTCCGAAAGTGCTTGAAGCCAACCATTTTTTGAATATTCGCGTACCATCAAATGATAAAGATGGGGTTTTACTGGATCTAAATATCATTACTATAGAATTTTTCTCACAAATATAAAAAGAATTAATATTTTTTCAGGATTTCAAAAAATTTTAATTTAGTAGGAAAGTTTTTTTTCTCTGTAAATCTTGCTCAAGCAAGCTGCCGAGCTAAATATATGATCATCAATTAAAAAAAAAACTTGCAAAGAACAATTTTGTGCAAAACAGCTTCCAAAATTGCATCAATATTCAAAAATTCATTAGCATTCAGTCGTGCGCGCTCTTTTTCAATCAGATCATGAAGTTCGCCTTCTCCATGCTTTACCAGATAATTCTTTAAACCATTTAAAAATTGCCGAACATTTCGAATTACCACCTGAAATCATGCTTCAAAACAGCTGTCTTTTATCTTTTCATAAGATAATGATTTTATTTGAATTCTGATCAAAACTGATTTAAAACTGATTTAGATAAAAACGATTTAGAACCTAGAATCTCTCCTACTTTATAAATTTACTTAAATAAAACTACATAAATATAAGGAATATTTTATCAGGTTTAAAAATCGTCCATTGCCACCAAATTTTAAAAAAATGAAAAGATTACTTGTGGATCACATTCTTCTGCTTCAAATGTACATTCAATGAAACGGCGTAACGTGGCACCGAAGACTGTGTTTCCCTCCTGTGACAGCCTGCAATTGACAACTTTAGTTATCGTTAAATATGTCAACGTCAAAACAAGGTTCTTTTTCATATATCTAATTTTCTTTTCATGTACAAACAATTTGATGAACAACATAAGAATTCAGAGTCATTAACCTTTCAACATACTCTTGAATCTTTGTACCGGGATCTAAGCTCAAACTATTTTTCAACCGTGGCGGCGAAATAATGGGTGAAAGCGCGCGAATACTTGTTGGGATGTCATCCAAAGATTCAAGCCACGAATCATCAAGATTTGAATATCGTGGAAGGATACGCGGCAGCTAAAAACCATGCAAACAACATAAAATAAGAGCATGAGAAAATATAGATATATACGACGATAAAAAATTGAAAATTATGGTTTACAGAACCAAAACTGTACAAATTAAATTAGTGACTGACTACAAAAAATAGATTAACAAACATACTGAATGTGTGTTTGTTGATTTATGGCTATCCATTGTGGCTGATCCATCCGACATTTCTCCAACATTACTTATGTTCATCATTGAATTTGATGCTTCCGGATCTCCACTACCACTGGTGACTGATTTACTGAAATCAGAGAAACCAGTCCGAAAATTTGAGTGAATGATCTTATCAAATTAAACAGGATCGAATAATTGCGAAATAAGTTACAAATCCTACCCAAAAACAAAACCAACCAGATTTTTTCAAGTTGCTGTTGCTTGTCTAAATTATCTTCGTTTTTCAAATGTGCATTAATATTTATAATACCATTACGTCGACCATCTGACCCTGCGTTATTGTTTAGATGATGATTATCAAACCTCCGAATCACTACATCGTAGTCGCTGTTATCTTAAATTATCGGAAAAATATAAGCTTCTAAATGCTGAGAGATTAATCTAAATACCAAAAAGACAGAAGAATTTCACAAATTCAAAAATATCAGTATCATTATCTATAATCCAAGAAATTCATTTTCACTCCAATAGAGCAAGAGAAAATAAACATTTCTAAAACAAACAAATAAGTCATACTTTGACTATCATCTGCACTAGTGATGGACTGTAATTTCTGCAGATTTCTTTCCTCTTCGCCATCATAACTCATTTCCAGCGAACAAATCACTTCATCATCACCCTCTTCAGCGATCGCTTCACCTAAACAAAAGCAAAATCACTAGTATTACAACACAATGTATGATTCAAGACAAATAAAACATCAATCGTTACTGGTCAGTTCACTCATGTTAACTTACAACTTCAATAACGAATAACAATGAGAAATGGGGCAATACCAAGAAGTACCCTTATACCACTGTTTCATATTCCAGCTTCCACAGAAAAGAGATCCCTCAACTATTCGTTATAAACTGAATCCATTTTAAGTTGAAATGGATTCAATTTACAACGAATCTTATAACGCAACAATAAAAATTAACCAAGAACAATTTGATTCATATCGTGGTGCCTTGTAAGAGTCGATGGTTTCTCATCCCCATAATGCGCCAAATCCAACAAATTCTCCCAAACATTAGAATCCCAGGGTTCGTTGAAGACCGTTCCAGCGATACTAACGTCATCATCGTCTTTTCCACTTTGATCTTGACTTGAAGACCCCGTTTTCACTGAAAAATTGATAAATCTTGTTTAAACAAAAAATTGCTTACAACTAGAAACTGATATCTTCATGACGCAATTCGTCTATTTATTGAATTATATAACATATTCAGAGTTTAAACTTTCATGATTAGCTAATTAATAATATGAAATCATTATACGGGTAATTTCAAAAATCCATTGATGTCAACTGCTGTAATGTCTTTTTGTTAATCAGAAAATTATGCACAGTAGTAAACTATGTCCTTTATCCCTCATCAAAGAATTTAATTGAAAAGACTTTTAAAATAATTCAAAAAATAACCAATTAAGTCTGCTTTCATTGGCGCATCAATGGATTCCGATAAATGAGCATATTCAGATGTTGAATTTTCGCAAGCACTGTCATTGCAAACAGGTGTATCATCAGAATTTTGCCGTCGTAAATAAACGGAACTCTCAGATGATGATGGCTGCGAAGGTAAGACTTTTGACAATGCTGAAAACATGATTTTTCAATCGCTTTGCCTTAAAAGAATCTCGTTAAAACTAAAGTAGCTTCTGCGTAACGCTTAGGATAAGCACTTAAAAATAGGGTATTGTTTTTACTTTTATATACAATGGCGGTATTGTTTATATAGACTTACTAATTTAATAATTTTTTTTTTTACTTCAAACATGTTTTAAACAGATGTAACATTATCCAATAAACTCGGAAACACTAAACAGTTTCTATTAATTGAAATCAAATGTAACCTAAATTGCCATTTCCAGCAATCATTCCACAAGAATGCAATTTGTTCTGTAACGAACTTCCAACCGCTACTGCAGTTAAACTTTTCTTTAACAAAGGCACTTGTGGAGTTGGTCGGACCTATAAATAAAGAGCTCTTGGAAAAGTCCATAAGTGACTTTCTTTTGGAATATAATATTAACTTCTGAATTTATTTTCCCTTAATCACGGTGAAAATTACAGAGGAAAGAAAAAACTTGATTTTCAAAAACGAAACAGAAACAAATTCAAATAGAAGAATGAGTAACTAAAGACAAAAACAGCATAATGGCTTTATAACTGAAACGAAAAAAAAAATGATAATGTCACTAATTGCTGGAACGGATATTATGAAGATAGCGCAACCAAATGGAAAAATATTGAACTTTTATTGTTAAAAAAATTATTGCAATAATTATATTAGTTATACTTATAATATTCTTAGGAATGATATAAAAAAACATAAATGGCAGAAAAATTATTAATAATATTACTTGCTGCAACTGCTGAGAGTGATTGACAAATAAGAAAACAAAGAAGGTATACTTATCATGACATCAAATATCAGGAAAAAAAACAGATGAGAAATGAAAAGAGAGATTCTTGCGTGATGGATGATCTATTCCATTGAGAACTTGAAAACATTAATCTTTATTTGAAGAAGAATAGAGCTCAAAATTTATCTATGATGGAATTAATATGAAGGAATGGCATTAATGACTGATTTCTTTGTAAAGAGTAAATTATGTGCAATAAAAACCTTGGCAATTTTTTGACGATTTTTCAACTCACTGTTCAATGCTGACCAAACGACTGTTTGCTCTTTAGCAAAAGTATTCCCAGTACAAATTGAGCGCTCATTGGTAGTGTTGCCACTGGACAGTGAAGAAGCATTACAAGCAAAGGAAGATCCTGAAAATATTCTAGAAAGTTTCTGATTTTCTGAACGAAATTTCTGAGAAAAATTAATAATAATGCATTCCTAACATTATAAGAATGAGTAATAATTCATTTAAACAACGTAATTTATGATTTTATAAAAACAGAAAATTTAGATTTCACAAAAATAATTCATAATTGCAAAGCATTTCCAACACATTCCTCTCCCTCTTGGTATTCAGCCACGTGCGCATCACTCTATGATTCTCAAAACTGACTTCAGGAAAAAAATGACTGGTCATTATCGTTGAAAAATTCGTCACTTTTCAACATTATAATAAATTTTATTTCACACAAACACATACATTTATGTTATCTTGTTTCGTCCCTTATTAATCACTGGTCGTTTACCTCATATACTCATTCCGGAATTACTAATGGTATTTTTGAAAAGCTTCGAATCTGGAAGAACCTATTCAATTGTTCCCTCAGAAAAAGAATCAGAGGGGAATGGCTTGCAAGCCACGTATGATCTTGCTCGCTTACTAATATTTTCTGATTATAGGAAAAGATACGATTAAACGTATCGTTCCTGTTATGAATTTTAACAGGCTTCTTATAAAAATTGAATGAAACGAAGATGCGCAACAAACTTAGTGTATGCATGGCCATAGGAGATATTAAAGAATAGAAATACATCAAAAAATCATGCATACCAAACATTTACCTCGTTTAACAACGGATGGACTCCATGCATAAGTCTGAGTAGAAGTTGATGATAATGAGTCAGTGTTACTATTCGTGTGTACAAAAACTCGTTCTCTGGAGTGTCTCTCACTGTGAAATCTGAAACTCATGAAAAAATTTTACGGTCGAGCTGACGAGCTGCAATATAATTTATTGCTTTAGTCGAAACATCAAGTACATCACTTATCAAATTTGCATAATTCAATGAAACCGCATTTTCCGAAATGAAGAGACGAAAGAACATTAAAAATCTTCTGAAAAACTACACTACAAGTAGATCAGTAAAATTGGTATTTTCAGAAAGTATGACTGCAGAAAGCAATTATGAGCCAGCAGAACAGAAGCCTATACAATGAAGCTTACAACAGAAAGCAAAAAATGAGTTATCGAACCCATAAGCATTATATACAAAAACAAAAAAGTTCCAAAAATACAAAAACTGAGGATGAATATTCCTAAATTCATCAGATATCTTTTACAGGAATAGTAGAAGCAATTGGAGAAAAATAGCCTAATCAGCTGTTAGTTAAAGTTTCTTTTTCTGGTAACAATTTCTAACTTAACTACCATATGTTTTGATAAAAAAAATTCGTTTCAAAACAAAATTTGAAAGGGAAAAAGAGAATAGAAAATTAAAATGATTAATGCACGCATTTTTTCAGCCAGAAACAAAGTACTCCATTGAGAACAATCACGTATTTCTTAATCACAAAGAACAACGAAGAATTTAAATTTAATGGATAATATAGTAGTTAATAAGGTAATTATTAACTTCATAAATTCATCCAGATCATAGTTTCATAGAGACTTGCTTGATAAATGAGCGGAAATTCGATTTTGAAAAAGATGAAAAGAATCAAGCAGGGCTCGAAGTGGAAAATCAAAACTTATATTGTCTGCGCGCGACGACGATAATAATTCGGAAGGAAAAAGAGAGGATAGCCTTGAAAAGCCAAATGAGTTCGAATGAAATGTGAACGAACTCAAAAGACCAAAACTACTTCCTACCGTTACTGTACAACTATTACTAAGTTAAAGAGGATAATTTCTTCAACTTCAAATAATTCTCTTCTACCCCTCCCTGGCAGCAACTATCTGCAGTAACTAACTATCCACGGTCAAAACATATGAATTATATGTACCTTGTAAACAATTATCCTCGAATTATGGAATGTCTTGCAACGTACTCATTTTTTTCAACTTGCTTATTTTTGTCTAATTAACGAAATCAGAGCATTAATGACACAAAGCAACCTGATTTTAACTTAATATAATTGGAATGAGAAACTGATCTAATAAATTAGAAACACATAGTCTTTCACATGGCAGAACAACTTCACAAATCCTCTGACCAATTATTGCAGAAATATCATCAATCTTCAATGAAATGTTTAATACAATGAATAAATTTGCTTTTAGCAAGACAGAAGCTGGAACATCTGTAGCAATAAAAGAAGAAAAATGGACAAATTATTGCAGAAATATCATCAAAACGGGGAAAATAACAAATGGAAATTTAACAGGAAAAAATGATGAAATCCTACGGTGGATTGGAAAGCATGCATCTTAAACAATACTCTATTTATCCAATATGATGAAATATCTTTCATTACGATGAAAGAAAAAGAATAGGAATGCAGAAGAGATGTTCAAAGTAATTAATTCATCCTATAATTATGAATTGTCTCATCAATAAACCTACACATTATTACTACAATTTATTTTATTTCAATCAATTCAACTACATTTCTACATTTTTGTTATTTCTAAGGCTCTTAAATTAGGAGATAAAGAATAAAACAAATTGGTTAAAAAATAAAAAATAAATGCATATATATGAACCTATGCATAACAATCTCTACCTTAGATCATCGAAGCTCAAATGCAAATGATGATGATATGTCAAAAAAATAATTCAAGGTTCAAAGGAAAAAAAGGAAACTGTAATTGGAGTGAAGAAAGAGGATGGCGAAACAGAAAGAAAAACAAAAGTGGCAAATGAAAAACGAAGCATAAAGAAAAAATGCGAATTTTAGGTGTATACTAGATAGTTTCCCAAACGACCGTGACAAGTTACAATTTTTTATAATTTAAAAAAAGCCAGTCTTGAACATGTAATGATTTTTCAATTTGTCATTAGCAAAAAGTATAAATAGGTATTTGACTCTTCAATTTTGTTCAAAGATAACCTAAATTTGTTGCTTTTCGTTATTGAATTTATGATTAATGTTTGCTATAGTAAATATCCTTCTCATTGTTATAAATCATATGACAAACTAAAAGTATATATCTAATCACGTGCAACTACATATAAACACCATTTCAGTCAACAAGAATGTACAGCTAACTTATCCTAGAAGATGCTTGTGAGAAAACAATCAATTAATGAACAAAGAGACACAAGTTATCCGAAAAATCTTGATGAAAACAATAAAATCAAACTAAATACATATTAATATTAATTAACATTAGTAAGTCAGATTTTTTAATCGATGCAATCTTCTAATGATATAAATTTGGTATCGAAAGGTATAACATATATTTCTGTTTCATATGTGCGACAGTGAGACAACAAAAAGGGTGGAGTTCTGAGTTTCATTTCAATAGATTTCATTATCTCTCCCAAAGAAAACGAAACCTATCTGAATCATATTCAATCGGAATAAAAACAAACCACTAATACCTTTCTTTCGTATGATCGTTTGATTATAAATCTTGAAGTGAAAATAAATAACGAAGCAGATAACATAGGACAACAGTACGTGCGAAAGTTTGATTTTATTATAAAATCAACAAACCATTATTCCACGGAAATGAAAACAGTTTGCAAATGTATTAATGTTTATTAATGCTGCTTGTTGACATACTTATTGACTTCCATATTTAGAACAGTAGCTGCAATAAAAACTTGCGCCCTTCAATATATTTCATTTCTTTACTCATGCAATTCGGAATTTATAAAATGCTTAGCACTACAGCTATAGTTTTAAAGCAAGAAACGGTTGCATGAATGAAAGTGTCACGGAGAAATAAACTCACTAAACAAGCATTTTTAAGTAAGAAATCAATCCTAAAAAAGTTGCACAGAATAAAGACTTGGAAACGGAAGCAGTATATTTTAGCAAATATTGACAGATGAGAGAAACAAATTCTCTCTAAAGGGATATAAATTCTTAAAAGAAGCGTTGGGAAAGAATCGGTGAAGTATGAAAAATGACCAACAGTGATAATGATGACAAATTTAATGATGACCGTTATGATTGACGACGGAATGTGATAAAATGATATTACAACTATTACGACGACTATAAGGGGTTTTCATGATACATAATTGAGCGAAAGAAGCTTAAGTAAATATTTTATTATTCTCACCTTACCTTTCTAGAAATGTTTTACCAAATACCGTTTTCTCTGTGACTTCATAATTACTATAGCAATAATACTGATAATAAAACAGGCAGTGAACAGGAATTATCTAATTTTTATCACGTCTAATACAATCGAAACGTAAACTTCAGAGATCTAAATGTTTTCGAATTAAAGGTATTTTAAATCTTATTGAAGAAGTGCACATATGACAAAAATACTTTATAGAAGAGTAAAACACTGAATAACCAAGAATTCTTGATAAATGCATGTCATCAACCTCCCTTCCTTCACCAAATGATTTTTTATATCTTTTAGTTTACAACTGAATCCAAGGAAAAATGGAAAGTAATTTATGACGGGAATGCAAATTTGACCTATGTGTTGTCTATCAACTTTATCAGTTTTAGAATAGAAATCTTCACTGTAATTTCGCCCAATGAAAAAAATAAGAAAATCACAAACCATGCAATTTCGTCCTAGTATTCACTCACTACAATTATGTAAAATAACCATGAAGGTTGGACATTCAATCGCCACCTGCTCTTTTCAAAATAGAATAAAACTTCCACTATTCACGTTCACCAATACAAAAATCATACTAAAAGTACATCTCAAACAGCGAAATTCAAAATCGAATTACTAATATTTTTGATCTTCAATATATTGCAATGATCATCATGCTTTAGCAGCAATCATTTTCAGTACTCTGCTAAAACATGAATCAAGAGGATATAAGCAAAAATCACTTTTTTGAGAAAAATGTCAGCGCAAGATGATATATATATAGCAAAAAATAATACCTTGAAAAAGCACAAGCAATGAAGTAGAAATGAAGTAAAATGAAATTGGAAGGATTAAAAAGAAATCTAAGAAACAAATCAAAACTGCAGAAATACTACCTACAAATATATGAAATAATGTTAAGAAAAACTGCAGGTTTTTCAGTAACTAAGCTAAACAATGAAGGAAAGATAAAAATCAAAACAAAATAATATATCACAAAGTGAAATCTATGAATGTAAATTACTCTACAAGTCAACCAATATGATTTGCGATATTGCTAGAGAAATTACTTCGTTAATTCAGAGAGAGAGAAAAAAAGAAACGAATTAATGAAGGATTTGTTAGATATTTCCAATACAGAATATAAAAAGCTTGTAAAGTTTCCTGCCATAATTATGTCAAAATGAAAGAAAAATGACGAAATGAAAGTTTGGAACAATTTCTATCCCCGGACATTTCAAATTGTCACCCTTTTTTTCGTCTCTCTCGCCATTCATGTTAAACTTTCATATAAATACAACTGAAATAAGAAAGAAAATGCAAAACTAAAAAATACGTCGTCAGTAATTTAATAAATGGAGAGTACAGTTTCTGCATCAAAGAGAATGATGATGAAACGAATGTGGCACTCATTCAGATCAACTGTAAAATTCAAAAAGACTCTCAAAAAACAGTCCTCGGCAATTCTTCATATGACCCAGAAAGTGTGAGAAAGTTTGGCAGTAAAAATTCTAGTTTTCAGCTGACAAACCAGCGCCTCAGTTTAGACTGTTTCTCAGAATCAATCTTTATCCATGTAACCTATAATAAGACCAACAGCGCTGTTCCTTCCTCACTTTCAATTCTCAAAAATAAAAACAGTGAGTAAAAAATTAACTGCATAAACTAACAAAGTACCATTATTATCGTAATACTATAACAGTAATAATAAATCCTACAAATCTGAACTATGTGAAATATGCAAATGTCCCAGAATTGCCTTTGATTCTTAGAAAGATAACAATCTCCTCTTTTCCCTGGTTAATCCACAATTCAAGAACGATGAATTAATCATCATTCGCTATAGGAGTAAATCTCTTGAATTTGCAATTGCAAAGCTGTTAGATTATCATTTTACAAAGCACACAGCACCATTCTTGGATCCATTCAATAGTTACCATGCAATAATTATAAAATTAAATTTCCTACAATTAAGATAAACTGTAGGAAATTCTAATTTCGAAAGTGGCGATAAACGATCCAAAGCGTGAGAACTACATGAAGAGAATGAAAGTGAGAAACGAGAACGAAAAATAATAAATATAAGAAATGAAGCAATAGTGTTAATGAAAATTCTTCAAATTGGTACCAATTCGAAAAATCCCAATAAATGTGCAGTAATACGCACGCATAAACATAAATAGGGTTCGATTCCAAGCCTGAGCACTGTCAATGCCAATTCAATGTTGCAGAAATGTCGCCTGCACAGGGCAATAATCATCGACACATCCACACAGCTACCCGAAATATTTATGCCTACATTTCGTGGCTAAGGCAACACCACCACCACAAACAACAATAATAATAGTTCGGACATTATAATTTGATTAAGGGGCAAACCTCGTCTGTCCAGCAAATGCAGCACTTTTACTATTTCATCATGTCTAAGCAAAATGTCTAAGCAAAATATTGTGAATAACGATCCACGAATACGGATGAGGAAATTGCAAGAGACAATACGAGATTGATGCGTAAAGAGTGAAAAAGAAAGTAAGATATCAACATTACCAATAATAGAATGATACCTATACAATCAAGAATCTCTTTTTTATATATTCATGATGAGGTCAGCTATTTTCAGATCTAATATAATGAAGTACTTGAAGAACAACCCATTTCCTGAATTTTAGTTCTTAAAAAAGGGCGACAAGAATATATTTATAAAACTATAACAACTCTTCAGATCAGCGCAAAAGACAAAAAAAGTTCACTCATAACAATTCAAGTTTCACTACATTATCCAGAAATCCAGAACTAGTGCAAAATGTAATTAGCATTGAGTACTATCTAAAAAATGAAAATGTGTTATGCGGTTCTAATATGATTTTTGGACGAGAATATAAACAGACGACTAACTTTCTGGTGAAGATATGTCCTGCACCATCACGACCATCATGCTTTAGATGCTCCTGTTCAATTTGCTTCACCGTCTTTTTACGGGTTAGTGATGGTTTTTGAAGTAAACTTCCAACAGACCAATCGTTTGCTGTATTATTTGCATGCATATCTTTGATGTACTGCTTGCGTCGTATCACTGGTGTAACTAACCCTTCATTTATCGTCTGAAATGTGGACCGTAGTGATCTGTTGGTAAGCAGTACAATCCAGAATAAACAGAACGTAACCAAAACTATCATTGAGTGAAACGAATAATATCCTCCTAAAACTATTGGAATCGGTTTTTTACTTTTATTTATTATAAATTGCAAATGGCACAGATAAAAATAAAAAGGTCATGAATTTTAAACTGCACTGGCTAATAGCTATTTAGCAGCAGGAACAAGAACACATTTAGTGAAAAAGATTGTCTAAATTAAATAACCGTAACCCGTAATTCTCCAGTTCTTGGATTTCGACCAAGCTTCGAAGTTAATGCCTTTGCCGTGGCTACAACTCCGGTAACACCATTTGCTAGTGAGTTATGCGCCAAATCTGCCAAATCGGGAACCGACAAACGACGCTGATCAGTTCCGTCACTCGAGCGTGCCCTGTTATCAGTAATAAGTATTTTTTTTTTATTTATTTCTTGTGCTTAACATTCTCATGTTTCGAAACCTTTTGTAAAATCTCTGATTAATTTATTCTTCTGAAACAAAAGTATCCACTAAAAGCTTTCAAAACATATAGAAAGAACACAGGTCGAAAAGCAGTCATAACTGCTTTATTGGGATATGTCAAATGTAATATCAAATCCTTAGAATCTGTTCCAAACTACAAAATATGACCGGTTAGAAAAAAATCTATCTAACATACCTTAAAACAACTTCCTTGTGATGATTTCTTTGGGATTGCTGCTGCTGACGAGATTTGGAGTTAGCTTCAGAAACTGCAGCTTCTTGTCTATAATCAGAATTGGCCGTGGCAATGTATTAACAAAAAAAATCCAAGAAATATTTCTTTCAACTTTTTTGAAAACTGATTTCTTATTTTAAACTGTTTATCTGCAAAATGATGTTGTGGTATGGAAAAGTCAAGGAATAGGACTACATCACTGAACATAAAAATTGTCGATAAAATTTTCTTACTCCACAGCTTCTGTGTTTAATAAAATTTCCAAATGCCATGTAGACCGAAAAATCTCTATTTCTAGGTAGTTGCAGTAATAAAACGATGTTACTGAAATAATCTCCCACCAAATGGGGTTAAAATGTACAATAACTTCATGCGATCCTTTTAAGCATGTATTTTATTCTCGAAAAATATTTTTCTAAAATGAAAATTCTATGGCTCAGATAAATTAATAAAAATTCAAAATCTTACTCCAACAGAGCAGATTGTTATAAGCTTCAAGTCTGCTTAGGAGCCTCCCTTTACTAAATGAGGTTAACGTTTTACATCAAAACCAAAGTGGAAATAAATCGCACAATCACATAATGGCAAAATGAAAGCTTCCCAAACAATTTACCCATAACTAATATGAATTTACGGAACGACAAAGAAACAAAACTTAAGACATAAAACAAAGATGTAATTGAGCTTACAATATAATTTGAACGAATTTTCTTTTAGTCTGCCATGTCATGAACACTAAGAGTTTTTCTTTTAAGTAAATTCTAAAGATGTGTCCTACAGATCCTGAGAAATCATTGAACAATAACCACAGATGCATTTTAAAAACGGAAAGCAAAGCATAAATAGCAAAGGGCAACAAACGGAATGGAATGAATACCTTTTCCTTTTCAATTCCTCCAAACATTTACGAAAGGTATTTTCATCAAGGCATGTGGATGGTGGCATTAGAGCACATCGAACACTAACGTCACTATCGCTACCAGCATTATGCTCTGTGTAATGAGTAGAGATACGTGGCACATATCCAGTCGTCAAATCGCTCCGTTCACGCCTTAGTGTCAATGGTTTCGGTCTTACAGCTGGTTTTGGATTTACTGAAAGTATGAAGTTGAAGACAAAGAATTAAAAATAAAAATGTTCAAATATGTCGGTAGGGAGAGTCTACTCTGACTTACACTATTTTATTTAATATTGGTCACTATATGGAAAATTTCTTGAAAAGCAGATAGCAATATAAGTGAAGGATGGACATATAATGATGTCTTTTGACTTACCGAATTACTGAGACTAAAACACTACGCTCCTTGATTAATTTCAGAATAACCAACGGGAGAATGAACGGATAAAGGAGTTAATTACGTAATAAGTTTTCCTGAAACCCAGCTTGGAACGGAGATAAACTTTAAAATCAAATTAAGAAAGGCTTCGGAAAGGAAAAAATACCTGTGAAATGAGAATTCGAGCCATTTAATTTTTGCATGTCTTCCTGAGTAACAATATTGTTGGCTGAATGACCTGGTTTGAAGGTGCGAAGGGAGGGGACTGCATGTTGATGTTGTCCAGAAAACCAATTCCGTTTCAAAAATGAGCAATCAGCAGATCGTTCAGCACTGTATGACTGTAAAGAATCCGCGTCATACTGTGTTGACAGTGATGACGTCGATGAGAGTGCAAAAGCTGACTTACTTCTGAAAGAATATGGGATCGAATTTTGTATACGAGGAGGAGAGGTTAATTTTTTCCATGCACTGGTAATTAATGGTAGGATGGTGGAGATGAATAAAAACGACTTTTCGAAATTATTTGATTCGCTGTGATCAAAAATATTTGATGTGATCAAAATTTTTTGAGGGATTGAATAACTAACGAAGTGATTTTCCGTTCTTCCAAAGGAGTGAAAGGACGACACTGAGCCAGTTTTATCATTTCATGTTCTGTTCCGGCACTCTTTTTATTACCGTTAGTATTACCATTGCCACTGCCAGTTATTGCATTTGATGAACTTTCTGAGCGAAATATATGCCTTAACAATGACCGCCGCCCCGAAATGGTCTGCGCTGGTACATCATTATCAACCCCTGAGCTACTCTGGGGTGGTGTCATATGTGAAACACATGTTCCAACGACTACCATACCTATAAATAATTTAAATTTAGAAAAATTTTGTTTGGAAAAATTCATCTTTACATAAGACATAAATCAATGGAAAAATATGGCGGCCAAAAGGGAATGTCTTTATAGGACTATCAGATTTGTGTGTGCTGTGTTTAAATAACATGCTTAGTAAATGAACAAAGATGTAAACTCGCAAACAGCTATCAATTAAAAGTACATCTGTCCCATCACTTTTTTCTGACTGCTTCTTTAAGAGAAATTGAGTAATTCTTCACCTTTATCCATGAAAGCATTAGTTAAAGTGTTGACACATTTTTCGTTGGCACGCTTGGAAACAGAACTACCACTCGTTGCAGATGATACATAATGTTTTGTGAAACTTGAACGCTTTTTTGAAAGGTAACGAATATTCGAAGACTCCAAATTTGAATGCTTTTGCGATGAATGTGAATCGTTATCTTCCTGTGCTATATCACTTGTCCAGAAATCTGTAAAAATTCAGTATCTCACTAAATTTGAAATAAAAAATTATAAAATCTAAATGATGAATAAATTAGACGAATGAAATGCAGATGTCATTTTTCCGTTTGAAAACCTTGCAAATTAACTTGCTATGCTAAATATCAGATCTTTTTTCTTCGTTTTTCAAAGAGAGTATCATCGCATTGATGATGACAAACATAAACCAAAAATGATGAGTGGCAAGAGCATGATTTGAAGATCGTTGATGAGAGGCCTGAAGCATGACCCAGTTCAGATTTTCAGTAGAAACACTATCCGCATAAAATAGTGAAAAAGTGGAAGATATCAATTAGGTAATTGCGGTATTTTTAACATAACAATAACATAGTAATGTCGAAAATGACAGCAAAATGAGAAAAATATGGGAAAAAAATCTGTTCCGGAATTAATTCAGCAAGAATTACTGGAAATTAGCAATTAATCTTCCATTTACTGTAAGAAGATATTACGCTTTCTTACCAAGCGACAGTATCAGCAGATTTAATCAATAGAGGAACACATAATTTTTTCAGAATCAAAACAGCTCTTTAATTTTCATCTGTCAAACCGATAATAAAATTTAAAGCATTTAAAAAGCTGGAAAAAGAGCCCTATCAAATCATCTCAAAGTCATCCTGAAATTTTGGCAAATTGTTAGCAACACCGTAGAAATTGTCCCTAGAGTTTAAGAGCTACAATAAAAAGTAGGGATTCTCTTTATCAGTTTGAAAATATAAAACAAAATATATGGAACATCCAGTAATCGACAAAAAGATAACAATCGGATATCAACGACAAATCAAATTTTTAAAACACACCTCTTCTAATTGTTTTTGAAATCTAGGGAAAAGAAACATATCCATTTGAAATGTAGAGAATCCATGATGGAAACCCAAAGAAAATTGTTATAAAGCAACGTGTAAGACCCGGAAAAGATCTTTGAATTTTCAATTGGACATCTTAAAATGCATAAATACAGCACCTGTTTAAAATGATTATTACTAAATAGACAAAAACATATCTGTGCATAAGCAAACATAAATTTATAAGATCATCAAATAGACCAGAAGCAGAATTTCGCTTCCCTCAACTAGTTTTGTTCCTTTTCGAAAATATACTTGAAAGAGATAAAATTAACTGTTTTGCCAACAATCATTTCACTGCGGTACCCAGAAAAATATCCAAAATGCAAAATGGAAATTCAACTTTTGACTTGTAATCTTATACAAAGTTTCATATTATGTTTATATTATATATAAGAAAAATAGTGTAAATTATAAGCAGATGTCATTGATTGAGTTTTAAATCCGCTTTAACAAGGAGTTTATCGAAAACATTCAAGAAAGCATGAGAAAAATCATACGTTTTCTTACTCTCAACATTAGATTACTTCTTAATGTGCTTTTTAATCTATAAGAAATACGAGAAAACGATCAAGAAAAAATCAGCTAGAAAAACAATTTTTAACTTGCCTGTTGGGACAATGTATTGGAAAACATAACTATATCATTTCTGAAAAGTAGTATCGCAAAAAATCCTCGCCGACAATTTCATGATAATTTCAACAGAAAAAACGCACAAAAATGAAATGATGCGCATTACAGCACAAAGCGACAAAATAAAATTTAAATTTCGACACCGTCACATGCAATTCCATCTGCACAAAAAAACTCAACATACCACAGTAAAGAATGCAAAAGATAGTTTTAATTTCCGGATCAAAAGAAAAGCAATGTCGGAAACGACTGACAGGATAAATGGAAAAGTATTTACAAACGAATAAAAGCAGCTCTTATTTTAATTAATACCTCCTTTACAGAGCAAGATGTTACTTACAAGTAAAAAGAGAACACGCAAGTGACGAACAATCTTGAACCTTGACAGCTAAGTTTGTAAGCAAACGGTCTCGTACTATTCCATTTCCTTACACGATTGCTTATTCACTTATATTTAAGCAGAAAATTGATTTCAAACATAAACAGCCGAATTTGCTCAATTTTTATTTTTCATCAAAAATACAACGATTTTGAGCAATGTTTATAGTCAGAATTTAAAGAACACAAATACCAATCAAACAAAAACTGCATTTTTTAAATTAAAATTTTATCAACTTCCTTGTTCAATTATATTTATGAAATGAAAATAGGAGGAGTTTATATGCCTTCTTGAAAAATAAAAACAACTTTTGAACCAATCAGACCCTATCATAACCAAAAGAAGTGGTTATATTTTCGGTTAATAGCAGTTTCCAAAACTTCTCTATTTTCATCACAACCATTTAATTATTTTTACTCAGCTTTTAATTTATCATAATCCGATTTGAGCAGTGTATATTGAATAAAAGTGAAGCATACTTATCGAAAGACTAAAAAAAGTGAAAACGATAAAACATAGAAGAGAGCTTATTTCGTAAAGAATATCAACTAAAAATATTCCAGAAACGATTATTCAGATTCGATAAAAAGTATAAAAGTATAAGTTAGATAGTATAATTGTTTGTACCATAACAATAATGCAGCAGTATTGATGATAAAATTTCTATGGTTTGCTTATTAACTCATTTATCTGACAAGAAGATATGCATGATCCTAATCTCGAGTCTTTTTCTAACTATGATTTTATTTTAAGCTTCATTGTAAGAGAAAAAAACTAGATTAAAAAATGAGATGAAATTGCCAATGATGATTACCTTACCAAAAAATGTGGCTAAGTGACAGTGGAATAAATATCTGTCAACATTAAGATATTTTTTTCGACACCAAAAGCATTTAAAAGAAATGAATGCTTGAGATTTTATTAGGTTATCCTCAGAAATAATAACACTAATAATATAGACACAATAATGATGACAGTGATTAAACGAATTGATAAAATAAATTCTCTAGTCTCTCATTTGAATCAAAATAAACAAGGAATCTAAACCTCTAGTGTCGGATGAAAAATCTTCAACAACAGACATAAAAAGAGATTAAATATAATAATGGTTGGTAAAACAAATGTCAAAAAATCAGGGAAAAAGTGTAATACAGATGATAATTATCACTACGCACTCAAATTATTCAGTTTTGAAGATTGCTATTCCAACTTTAATTTGAATAAATGCTCTAGAATTTCTTTTTTTGCAAACGAATTTCCCCAATAATGTTATAATTGCTGTTAAAATAGTTTATGTCTTCGTGGATACGCCTTTTTTTCCGACGGTTACAAGACGAAGTTTGATTTCAACAAAACTCGATTCATTTGCCTAAATCGACCACAAACATATTTACAACTAATTTATTCCAACAAGTCTTTTCAATTATTCGGTTTTTTCATGTGAAAGATCACAAGATTTTAACTTGGAAGTCTCGAGATAATTAGACAACAAGAATGCAAAATTTTGAAAAAAATACAAAGTATACTTCTACATTTCAGCGTAATTAGCGAAAAGTACGTCGAAACGTTTGTAACATTTTTTCCTTATGATAATTAATTGCGAAAATCATAATACCAAGTACCAAATTTTGATCCAGGACAGCAAAAAATTCGATGAACTCCGAAATCAATACTACGTATTAGTTGTATCTTTCTCTCTTCTTTCAAAAGTACATTGTTTATTGAAAGGATTTTTTGGCATGTAACGTTCAGCCATTGAAACAATAAATTACTTGTCACAAACAAATCTTACTTTGTTGAAAAGAACCCAACATTTTAAACATAAATTATTTTTGAGAAAATAATGAAAAACCGAAATTTTAGATGCAAGACTTGAATCCAAGAAAAATTGCAGGTGAGAGTAACTGGAATAGAGAACTTTAACTTTGAGCACAAAAAATTTTTAGCTATTTCCAAACCGTCTGAATCCTTGATAAATGCTTTAATTTTACACAGGTACTATAAATAGTCTATTTTTCTCACTTCTATCCTATTTTCTGAACGACTAGTTCATTCGAAAAAGTCAAGATAGTTGGAACAAAATAATGAAGTATTAAAAGCAAAAATTCACAGAAGAAATACTCAGGCAGTGAAAACACATTAATTGAAGTATGGTTCTGTTCTTCTATAGAAATGACGGACAGATGTTCAGGAAAGGACAAAGGTCACCACTTCACTGGTCTGAACAAATTTCTGTTCTCACTAGTATATACATATACATGTATATATATATGTATATATATACATGATCATATATATATATATACTTTCATTTGACAATGGTCGCTGCTAGTAAAGTATGTTACGTAATCGCTGATTTTTACAACAGGTTAAATGCTGAGTAAAAAAATGACAAATAAATGACAGCACCATAATCCGCTAGATTCAAATTGGAAAACCACAAAATCTCTGGTTGATAAAGTTGAGAAGAGATACACCAAATTAATATTTGAGAACAGAATTTATTCAGACCCAATATAACTTATATCTAATATAACTTTATGACATCAAAACTAGCAGAAATTATGGTTTGCTTCTATTTTACTATATACATTTATTTATCTAATGCAATATCGTTTATTCCATTGGGCTACACCAAGCGAACTCAAATTGACAAAAGTAAAAATGACAGTAGTAGCAATCACACAGAAGATGAATTCGTCATAAAGACAGAAAAGGTTTTATTAGAATTGGTGATCAGTCATGAATTTGGTAGAAAAGGAAACTTTGCAGCGAGTAGTTTTCAGATTTCATTTCTATTAGACTTCAGCTTTTTTATCATCCAAATTCGAAAGTAGAAAATGGCTACAAGGAACTTAATTAATCACTAGGAATACAAGAAGTGTATAATACAAACAACTACTGGAATGAAGGACACTGAAGGACAACAGCAGAAAATGTAGAAAATGAAAGAATGAGAAGCACTGCACTAACCTTGACCCATCAATGCCAGACTCTGCAACTGCATGCTCGTACAACAGCGTGTAATTGCAACCGGTAAAACAAGATTCGTCTGAAGTTCTTCGCTGTAAATCAAAATAATCAAAAAAATTGATTCCTTCATGCATTTAAGTTTTTTTGCCACTTTCAAATTTCGATTCATATTTTAGGTTTACAACATATGCGAAAACGAAACCAAATCCGGCATCAGCTCTTTTTTTCACTAAAAATTTCTGCAACCTTTCCCTTTCAAATATACCAGTGCATAATGCTACATAATATTCCCAAATTTTTAATGAACAGCCTATTTAAATTCGATTCTTTATTAAGTTCTAACATTAATTCTAGTGATTTCATCACGTACTTAACGTTAATTCCATTGGCAACTTCTAACTTTACACTGCACGTATGGAGATAAATCACACAAAATCATGGAAGAGTCAGAGAATGCACGTTTCGCTTTTTGTTGTATAACATGTATGTTCAAAATGCCAAAAAAGAATTTCGCTGAAGCGTAGTAAACTCTCATTATCCCGCATGTTTGCAACTACACAATATTCGTATTGCTCCTAGCACCGATAATGTCGAAAGTGTTCTTTTAAAAGAATATATTTTTTAAAGCATAAGAATATACCAAAAATGCACCATATTCATTTATACAAGAATTATAAAACTATTTGGCAATCATGTTAAAAAGTTTTATAATTGTTTTATAAAACGCTTTTCTTCGAATTTTGTCAGAAACACTTGAACTAAAATATACAAAAATTTAAACTTACCCATTCAAACAGTAATGTTCAATTAATAAAGGAAGCGATTTAAAGTAGTAAGGTGACGATTCTACACGTACACTTCTATCCACACCTGCTGATTCGATGAGGTAATGATCAATATCCGATGTTAAGCCAGGAGGTGAACGAACACTTAATGCCATTGCATTAGGTTTTGATGATGACCGCACGATAAAAGCCTAAAAACACTTAAGAAAATAATATTTGTTCAAATTTTACAAAATATCCAAGTGTATAAATTCAGAGATTATAATTATCACTGTTGGGAATGTGAAAATTCCATATTAACTTTGAAATTTGCATGCTAGATCAAGTTTGTAGATATAATGAAAGCAACGAAGTGTGGAGAATTAGGCAACCTAAAACCCTGGCAAATTGTTATAACGTACTACATGAAAAATTATTCCCTTCTTTGAATTTAGAAAATAACTGACAACTGCATTTACCCCTTCGTTCATTGGACGAAGCAAATGTGTAGCAGCGGAACGCCCGATATGCTGCAAATACCAAATGGGATGTGTACGAATAATTTTCTCCAGCAACGTAATACCTTTTTCATTTCCACTTTTTGCGATATCTTGATATTTTTCTTCGCGATTTGATAGCTATAAAAGTAATGAATTATATTTGAACTTGAAGAAGTTTATTAGAAATTCACTACTATTTCATTCTATTAAAAAACAAAAAATACAAAGTTTCTAAATAACTCCAATTTTTATGTGATTTAACTACTTAGCAAACGGAAAGACACTTGTTCTATTTGTCTAATTTCACTGCTTATTACTTTTCGCATGTATGTAAGGACAAAAAAAAATCCATTATTTCTTTAAACTTAAGAAATGAATCAACTAACATCAACTTACTTCAATGAATTTGCTTTTTCTTCTATCTTTTGTTGAGTTTGTGCGTCTGTCACATTGTACTGCTGTAGATTTCTTCGTATGACCGATGCCTAATTTGAAATTTGAAGGTAGTTCAGGATGCTGAAATAATCAAAGCTAAATGCCGAAATAGCCTTGATTTCCCCGATAAGAATCTAAATGAAATGATTAACTAACGCATAAATCAATTGCGCAAAGAGAATAAACAATGTAAATCAGAAAACAAAAGAATTAAACGTCAAAAAGCAGCTTCTCTTTCTCAGCGTATCTTAGCTTTCCTCACTAAAATATCCAAACTATAAATTTTTAAAGTGTTAAGATCATTTCTTCCAGAAATCAACGTCGAACCAGCGAAAAATCTTTACACAACAACAAACGAAGGCAGAAAAAAAGAAAATTGATTTACGGTTAGAAAAATACAATATAGCTCCTCCAATAGTACTGTTCTACAACCATTTCGACGTACCGATGACTAATTCTGAGCAGAGATTTGCTCCCACATACCAATTTTGTTTTCGCAAACAGGAAATGACCTCAGCATATGTGGATATTCACAGATTTCAATAAAATACAAGTCTACTATAAAGAGATATTCATTCCAAACATCCCATATTAAATTCTGATTAGAAACAATAAATTAGAAATTCTCCATCAAAAACCCGAAATAATGAGAACAATTCTTACATCTATAGCTGTTGAAGCTAATATATCGACAGCTGGAGTACTCGTACACTCCATTGGAATGCACTTACTTATCATTGTTGTCGTTATCGCTTGATCAAAAAACTGCAAAAGACCTTGAATAAGATATTATACATTTTTTCTTGTTTTTCCATGACCTCACCATTTCTGCTTCCCGATGTCAAAATATATAGCAATGAAAAGTATGAATCAAATAAAAAATATTATATCGATATAAACAATTATAAGTGATTATATTACTTGTGACATAAGTATGACACGAATGAGAATGAAATATAGGAATCAATTTTACATCGTTTAAATTTGTTGAATTCGTTAAATTTTCGAAGAATTGCGAAGCTGCACTAAATTTCATATAAGGACTGTGGTTATTATTTACATCTTGCTTGTAACCTTGTTTGCAACAAGATGAATTGGCTCATTATCCTTGATTAACGCTTCACGTCTTTTATTCATATTTATGTCAGCAACTGTTGTTGTTATGTCGTCGTTGTTTTTTTGACTGTTTTCCTCTATTCTAATTAACAGATCATCATTTTCCACACTATCTGCAAAATAATTGGATTCGAATTTTTTACATTTCAAAGAAAGCAATCAAACACGTAGGAAAAGAGCCCAGATTAGCCAATAATGCTGTTAATTTTGATCTCAAATATAAAACTTGCCAACTTATAGAATATGATTAAGAATTTCAGTTAACAGAAAAAGCTAGGGAAAGGAAGAAACCGTTCAAGTATCTCATTAATTTCACATCTCTCCATGCATCTCTATGAGGAAACTTTCACAAAGAAAAAGCTCGCGCTCTTTACAGAATCTCTTCACTAAAAAATGATAAAATGAGACTAAAAATCTTGAAGCAAAAATATCTACTAAAAAGAACATAGGTATAAACTTTCGATGAAATATAAAATTTCTGAGCAACAATGCAACTTCCTTTATCAAATGCGTTTTTCTTACCGAAAATGAAAATTAATTGAGAATTCGCGAACCCTCTAAATATAGTCAGTCAATTATAAGCTTAGAAGTTACGGATCCCGACTTTAACGTTGTAATGACGAGATACACTCTTCCTGAATGCAAACAAATATAACTGACTGCAGTTCAATCCTCGCATAGTCCCACAACCGATATCATTAAATCCATCTGCTATCACCTTCAAGTCATCCTTGTATTCACTATCCCGTTACATCACCTCCATATCTTTCCTCATTATTGCAACTTCAAATAGAAAGGATTGATTATTGATCCTCTCCCGGTCCATTATTTTCATTGCTATTATAAAATCTTTTGAAATCTGTGTCATCTTTACTAAATATATGCAACAACAGAATGGATGAGAATACTTTTAATAACGCGACAAGTTTCGTTTGTTCTTCTTGACTATATTTGAGATGAAATATTAGAAAGTTGCGTTAAGTACCATTCTTTATTATTTGAGATGAGATGGTATCATTATTCTTTGTCTGTTTCATTCATTATGGACAGGAAGTAAGATGAAATCACAAATGAGGGATTTTCCGCTAATTCAGTGTATCAATTTCGATCGCAGGAAAAAAAATCCATACATGGGATTAGAGAAATGGCTCTTGTAACCCTCTTCTACAGTATTGCATACAATATGGATAATTAACATTCTCCATGGCTTCAAAAGGTACTACCAACAAGTATAGCAGATAAAATGATTCAAATCAATTAATAAAAAATTTTCAGTGATGTGACGTTAAGAGGAGCAACCAACAAGAAAGGGAGGATATTATGAGAGGTGTTTCAATAAAGAATGTTGACTGATTTACTCCCAAAGTTTATGAGCAACTTTAATATTCCTGGCCAACATCCATCTTATTTCTTCCTAATGAAAAATGAAACACTCCAAAATACTCTTACAACAATGATGAAAACTTCTATTTATAAACAATCTGAAGAAACTATAAGCCTTCTGATATGACAGAGATATTACTTTAAGGATTCGAAGAAACCACTAGCCCTTCTAATATAATACAAAAAAATTTACTTTAAATCTTTCACAAATAACCTGAACAAAATCTCAGGTGAAGATGTCCTTTACCTGTCAAATATAAAGGTAATACATTCGCTATCTCATCACGCTGTTTTAAATCGCTTTGCCAATTTGAAAAAATGATACCCCATCATGAAAAAATTTTGACTCAAATGCTTAGTCACTTCAAAGTTCTACGTAAGACATTTATTACTTCAACTAGAAAAACTTATCAATACATCAACTGATAACCGTGTTCCGCTGATCCTGCACTTTTCTTCAATTTCTATTTCTGTTCAAATTGATAAATGATACGAATGAAAAATGAATAATCTAATCAAAATTCATTTAAAACAAACAGTCATTTTTTGGTTAGCGTAAATGATTGCTGTAAAATACTGTAAAAACTTATCCAAATGATTCCTATAAGAAAAATTGGGAAAGGATCAAATTTTTGAATGATTTTAAAAGTAATTGTTGAAATGACCAAAAACAAAAATTCGTTTTTTGAAGAAGAAATTTCTCATTTCATTCGTTAATATCAAAACTTTACAAAACCAACATAGTCATTATAAAATCAGTTTAATTTCGGAATAAAAATAGTCCTTTAAACTAAAGCGATTCAAATGACTCATTTAAAGAAACAATGCAAATTAGTTAGAAAAAGCAGAAATTTTTTGTATGACAAATGATGGAAATGGTTTTGAAAAGTTAAATGATAGTCCAGCTTTTATCCTCTTCCTCTAAGGGAGAGGACTATCATTTAATCAACAAATCGGCATCTCAAGTGGCTTTATATTTCAAATCATAGAGATAGATAGACAAGAGATGATGTATGACCATTAATAACAACTGGTCAACAATGTGAAGAGAAAAGAGTAAGTAAATTATAACAAAGATGATGAAATCTGTCATCTTTTTAAATCTCTTTTTTGAATCTCTCATCAAATCAAATAATCTCATAAATTGCAGAAATTTAAATTAAAATAACAAAAGCTTCCATTTCATTCATTATTCGAAGTAAATAGAAAATTTCGATCAGTTGAAAGTATAAATTTTCAACTCCCAAATGATTGTAGCAGAAGAAGTTATCAGTTAGCAGCTATCTTTAATGAAGCAGAAAATAAACAGATGATACTAAAATTTATTATTATAAAATTCAACGAGTAGGCGAACATTTGATACAACTAACAAATAAGGATAAAAAAAATAAATGATAAGACAACCACCTATGATTAAAAATTTAAGAACCTCACACATATAGCAAACAAAATATGAAACCTCATATTCATTCCAAAAACCGTCAATAATCAATAGATATATCAAAAGCCTGAGTATGATATCAATTAAAATTAAATAATTTAACACGAAAAAAATTAATAATAATAAAACAAACTCCAAAATTAAATTGACAAACGATAAGATTAAATCATTGATAGTTATCAATGATAACTATCAATGATAACATTAAAATTATTTTATGCATGGAAAAAATTGAATTACTTGAAGATTCGAGTGCCTAGAAAATAAAAAAAGTATTCTTTCAACATAAATTTTGATTAACACATCCAACAAACGATAAGATTAAAACCCAATTTTATTGCTACAATTGAACTACTAACCAATTGAACTGCTCAAATAATGAAAGTGTCATTTGCAGAAGTCTAATTTGCATATTCCCAATTACTAATCACTATCTATCATCCATTTTTAATCAACATATTTCAACGATGCAAAACTAAAATGTTTCAATTCTATAAATTTCTAAATAAATCTGAAGAAAATCTCCCTATATGATTTTCTACATGATTTTTTCAATTTTTGGTATTTTCAATTTTTCTATTTTTAAATTCACAAATAAATTAAAAATTCAGTAACTACTTGATAAATCGGAATAATTCTATTAGCTATTTAGTGTGGAAAAATATTTTCGAATCAATTTTAAAATGCATTCACCGAAAAAGAATAAAAAATATGAAGAGGTCAACAGCAAGCTATATTCGATATACAAGAAATGGAGAAGGAATTGAGGAATATTTGCTATGGTTACGAACAGATGGATGGACGATGGGTGAGACATTGTGATCATTGAACGAGTGACCAAATGAAGGTGGAGTCGATCGAGATGGATCGATGATAGATACGGATATACAGAACAAACACAATAACTAGCCACAGCAAACAGAACAGGAGAAGATGAGTGAATGGATGAGAGGTGAATGGGTTGTGCGACATTTCATGACAATAAGTGAAAAATGAGCAAGAGAGTGAAAGTACCACTATAGTAATAATAATAAGGCCTACAGAAAAAGAATTTAATAATTTTTAATTGGTCGTGAAAACAAAAAATAAGACAATTTAAAAATTTGCGTTAATTATATCATTTTAAAAATAAAATTTTATCATTTTAAAAATGATAAATAGTTTTTTTCGCGTGATATTCGAAATGTACGATTGAAAGAAGAAATAAACTATCAATGAATATTAAATCGATAAGTTATAACTATCGTCTGCCACGTATTTACAGATATGTAAAACTATAAGAGAAATTATCTCCGTCAGAACGGTCTCTCATAATTTCTTTTTCGCGCATCTTAAATCCCGCGATAAGGAAAAAATTCGTGTATTAGCTTTGAATAGAGGTGAGACAGAAGAGGCCAATAAATGTTGAAGTGATGGTGAATGGTATGAAATGAAAGCATTTGTAGGATTGATGGAATAGATGGTAGTACATTGTGTTGTTGTTATCGGTATTGCGCATCTCTCCTCAAATAAACGATAAATCGTTCTTTTTGCCACCTTACCGAAGCGCCCGTTTTTGAATGGAAAGGAAAGATATTTGCTGGACAAATAAGGCTAAAATATTGATGGAATATTTTCGCCATTTAGCCACTTTGCACATTTTAAACATTTTTTGAGTTGAGAAAATTAACAAAATCAATTTTGTAATTTTATAAAAAGTTGCGGTTTAATTTGTAAATTAAAAGTAACAAAATTTAAAGTATCAACAATAAAGAAATGAATAAATGGGTCATATTTATCGTCAGATATCACAAAAGCAAAAAATAATAATAATTAAAAGAATAAACTGAAAAATAAAAATCATTCACTATGATTTGTCCCTAAAATTAAAATTGAAAATTAAATTTTTATGAATAATAGGAATTGTTTATTTCTCTTAAACAATAATAGCTCGGTGATATTACTAAAAACGTTTAGATTTAAAGCAAAAATATCTACAGCAAAAAGTAGTAGACTGGGAAGGTTTGCAAATTTTAAAATGAGATTGATGTGGAAACGAATTTTAGTGAAGATTCACAAAACGTTGTGAGAGAAGCGCTGTTTAAACGAGCGGAATGCATCAGTAAATAAATGCATAATTTACTCTAGGCAAATATTGTTTAATTCTGGCAACAAGACAGTGACCAGAGAAATTGATAGAGAAATATTGACCAGTTGA